TGGCCCCCCAATCCCCCTCTGCCTCCTCGTCCCTGCTTCCCTGGCCTCCCTTGGTGTACACCCCTCTCTGCTTCTGCACCCTAACACGGCAGCATTGCCCCTCGATTCAGGAGCCTGCTGACCTTCGCAGTCCTGCTCAGCAGCAAGTCATTGGCCCTTGGAAATGCATTCGGTAATAAAGATCTGCATCTCGCCCTTGCTGATGTGGGATTAGCGTCAGTCACGTGACAGTGAGGTGCAGGAGCGTGGTGGTGGCCATGGCTAAGAGTGGGGACTCCGACCGTCCCCCTCCTCTCCCTCCCACCCAGCGGAGAAGCCCCGGGGGGCAGGTGGGCGTGTCCTGGGCCCGCTGTCCCCTCTGGGCCAGGCCTGCTGTGCGTCCCGAGGGTCCCCACGCCATTCCCACTGCCCTGTGCCTTGGATGGGACTTCATCTCCCGGACCCCACGTGCCCTTTCCCACCGGCACAGGCTGGACTTGCATTCAGGGCCCGCTGTTCCTGTTTCCTCGGGGACCTTTCCGGAACAGGAGGCAGAACCAAAACTGGGACAGTCCGGCCCGGTATCTGTCCCGCTCCACCGCCTGCGGGCTGGGAGGCTGCCTTCGGGTCCCACAGCCCCTTTGGACCTCACAGGTGAAGGGGCAGGGCTGATGGGCGGCAACCAGACCCCTTTTTGGGTCTGAATCGCGTGAGTCCACCCGGCCAGGGTTCCTCCATCCTGGGTGGAGACGGCGAAGGAGCAGCCTGGAGAGGGGGCTTGTGGGAGGCCCAGGGGGATGCTGCCCGCACCGGGCCGAGGGCTCACTCATAGTCCTGATGACCCCAGGGTCGTGACGGCCTGACCGAGTTCTCACTGTGTAAGGTCGGCCCAGGGGCCAGAACAGACACAGAAACGGAGAGCGGAGGGCAGGTACGCACAGCACAGAGGATCCCGTTCCCTCCCGCCTTGGCTCTGTCTGGCCTGCACTCGGGCAAAGCTCCGCTGGAGGGGAGCATGCTGCTCGGATGCTCACTTGCAAATCGGTGGCCGCTGCCTCCTGCTGGCTTCCCAGCGGTCCCTGCCGTGCTGCCTGCCAGCCCCGGGCCTCTCAGGATGCTGGCCCAGCGGCCCTGTTTTAGAGAAAGCATCAGGTGGTCCCTGCCGTCTTCTCTGCTCTGTCACGCCCCCAAGCCAGGCAGCCTGACCCGTGCAGGGCCAGCCTGGGGGGGGGGCAAGGCTGTTTGGTGTGACTGCGAGCAGCTCTTGCCCTCTGCACCTCCAGTGTCCAGGCCAGGGCGGCCCTTCGGGACACAGTAAGGGCATGCCGTTGGTGCTCGGTGGTGGTCTGCGCGGCTGGTTAAGTGTCTGGGGGAGCTGGCAGGGCTGCTGCTGCCGCTGTGTTTCCAGGCCTCCCTCCCCTCCCCGTGTGGCATCCTTGGGGTCTCAGCTGTTAATTACATGTGCCCAGGCGGCCCAAGGCGCTAATCCTCCGAGTCAGGCGGCCGAGGTGACCCGGAGGGCTCTGCCTCTTGTCATCTCCAATCCGCGCGCGGCCGCTGACTCCCGCCGCGTGCCGCCAGTTAATTACCGCCATCACGGCCCTGCCGCCGCCGCGGAACGGGGTCCGGCGGCCGCTCGCTAATTGGCGGGCGGTGGTCAGGGATCGATGGCGAGCTCGGCTGGCTGCTGACAGCCCGGCCCCCAGGGATTAGGCACTAATTGTGGACGGCCTCCCAGGTGCCCCCAGCCCCGGCCCCCGCGTTCTCAGGAAGGAGGCTAATCCGGAGACTAATGATGTGGGTGGTGTGCGGGGAGGAGAGCGGGCCAGAGGCCGGGTGGCCCCGAGCCTCCCCAGGCAGTTCCACAACCCGCTGGGCACCTGCTCCCGAGGGGAGAGGCGGGCGCCTCCCTCCAGTGGGGCCCAGAAGCCGGTGCAGGATGGGGCTCAGGGTGTCCGGTCGCATCTTCCCTGAGCCCCGGGGGACAGCAGTCCACCTGGCCTCTGACCCCAGCCTGGCCTCCGGGCAGCGGCAGCCTCTGCCCTGGTGGGTGGGGGGGTCTGGGTGTGTGTGTTTTCTTTCTTTACATTTTTGGCTCCAGAGCGTGAATAGCCAGCCACCCTCCCTCCACTCACAGGCAGAGTTCGGACAGGGTCGCCCGGAGTGCATGCAAGCTGGGTGCACAGTAGGTCCTTCGGGCAGCCAGGTATCCGAGGCTTTATGAGCAGTGGTCACGTCACCGCCACTCCCAAGGTGGCACTCCAACCGTCCGTGGGTGATGGTGGATCGAGAAAACGGGGTCCCGCCCTGGTTGGTTTGGCTCAATGGATAGCGCGTGGGCCTGCGGACTGAAGGGGTCCCAGGTTTGATTCATGCCTGTGTTGTGGGCTCCATCCCCAGTAGGGGGCATGCAGGAGGCAGCCCTCTCTCTCATCATTGGTGTTTCTCTCTCTCTCTCCCTCTCCCTCTCTCTCTAAAATCAGTAAAATATATTAGAAAAGGAAAACAGGGTCCTTTGGCGCAGGGGAACATTACTCAGCCATGAGAAGGAACGCAGTCCTGACACAGGGGGCACTAGGTGAGCCGTAAGGACATCACACTGGGTGAGAGAAGCCGACACAAAGGGCTGTGTGTCGTATGAAATGTCCAGATTAGGCAACTCCGTGGGGACTGAGAGCAGATCCGGGGGGAGGGGGGAGAGTGCCAGTGGGTAGGGAGTTTCTTTTGGGGGTGAAGAGGACTTTCTGGAATTGATTGTGGTGATGGTTGCACTGTTGTGAATATGCTAACAGCCATTGAATCGCACACATGGTATGGGGGAGTTCTTTGGTGTGGGAGTCATATCTCAGTATAGATGCCACAAACCAGAAAAAGATGACTGGTAGAGATCCCATGGAAATCGACCAAAAAAAAATTAAAATGGGCTTTTTATTCAAATACTAGAGGCCAAATGCATGAAACTCATGCATGGAGAGGGTCCCTAGGCCTGGTCGGCAATCAGGGTCGGTCTGTGGGGTGACCGGTGGGGTAATCGGGGAACCCCCCCACTGGCACCCGCCTTGGCTGGCCTGGGACCTGCAGGCTGGGGGCAGCTACTGCATTGAGCATCTGCCCCCTGGTGGTGAGTGCACATCATAGCAACCGGTCGTCCTACTGGTCTTTTCTGCCGTTTGGTCGATTTGCATATTTGGCTTTTATTATATAGCATAAATACCTGTAGAAGAATGCACAGACCATGTATGTCCAGTGAGACGAGTTTGCAGTGAACCACGGGCTGGAAACAGACTCGCCCCTCTCTGCCAGGGGGCTTGGGGGGGTGGGGGGGCAGCAGGTACAAGTGCAATCAGACCCTGTAGCTGCGTTTCTCATTTTTTATCTTCACTCGGTGGTGGTGCTGTGCCTTACTCTGTGCCTGAGGCACTGCTGGCTGCTTCCTGCCCGCTGTGCCTGCTCGATCCTGACGCCACTCTGGTGGACGCCAGCCCTGTGGTGCCGGGTACACGCCCGGGAGCAGGACGCCAGGCCAGCTGCTTCCTAGAGTTGCACAAACCTGGTGAGGGCATGGGTGCCTTACCCTCCCCGCCTTACCACCACGATTTCCCTGCATCGGCTGTCAGAGTGGACAGAAGCCCCCCGGCCCCTGGGAGCCACTGGGTCGGCCCCAGCCTGTTTCAGAGCCTCGGAGGCCTCCCTGCAGGAAGCGAGGCCTCTCCCTCCTGCCCGATAGGCCGTCCCCTGGTGGCAGGGCATCTGACCGGGAGGCTGGATGCTTGCCCCCACTGGTGGGGGGCAGAGCTGGGATCTAAACCCCCGGTCCTTGGTTCCGGGGCTTGGCCCAGGCAACGTGGGGGTTGCCAAATTGTGGGGTGTGGGCCGTGGTTGCTGGGTCCATCTGGAGAAGGGGACAGCATCCCCCCACTCCTCCTGCCCATCTGGCCGGGCACCGACAGGTGTGAGCTTGGAGCGAGGGGGCTCCTGGCCTGGCATTGCTCCAGGCTCGCGCTGAGCTGGGCCGCTCTTGGGGCACAGCCTGTGGCTGGGTGGGGCAGGTCTGGCTGGACTGGGGGTCTCCCCACGGGGCTGCCCGTACAGCTGTGCAGGCTGCCCACAGTCCCGGGGAGGAGCCACGCAGGAGAGGCCTGGCCGGGAGCACCTCCCAGGGCCAAGCTCTGTCTGTCCGTGGGGCCTCCTCTCTGAGGCCGCTCTGCCGCCTGGTCACCTCTCTGAGGCCGCGCCTAGCTGGTCGGGGCCTCCGGGGCGGAAGGGAGTGAACCACGGCGACTCCTTCGTCTCAGTGGTGCTTTGGCAGCTGCGATCGTCCGAGAGCCCGTGAGCCACAGGCCACCTGCCCTCTGAGCTGAGGTTTCGTTTGGAGACGTGAGCGTGGCCACTGGAGACTCAGTGGTGGGGACGAGCGTCCCTGGGACCGACACCAGCCCTGCACTAATCCGGGGAGGGCGCTGGGAGCTGGCGGGATTCCTCCTTCCATAAGGGGAGGTCGGTGAGGACACCTGCTTCCCCGCGGCCTCGGGGCTGCCCGGGCCCGAGTGGGGCCCGTAGAGACAGACGGTGCCCAGCTGTGCACCCGTGGGAGGGGTCAGCGTTTGCCCCTTGAGTCCGGATGTGAGATGGGCGTCCCCAGGCCGCTCCTTAGGACTGTCAGCAGCAGCCTTCACGCCAGACCCGCCCCGAGCAAGGCTGACACCCGGAATCCATACGAGAAGCCTTCCGGTGCCAGCTCTCACCCCGGCCAGCAGGGCGCACGGCCGCCCACGCTCATGCAGGCCCGTGGCCGTGCCGTGGCGCGGCTGTGTGCACGGGGCCCGGCGTGAGACAGGTGTGCCCTCGCCCGCCTGGTGTCTGGCACTTGTTGCATCTTTGCTGTGATGGGATAAAGTCTGGGGGTCCGGGGACTGTTCGTGGCTCTCAGAGGAGGTCTGGGTCTGAGGTGGGGCTGGAAGCAGCAGCCGAGTGCTGAGCTGGCTGAGTCCACGCTAAGGCTCTGTGTCCTTCTCTTGCAGGGTCTTCACTGAGCAGTGAGTCGTCCCCTGTGTCCTCTCCAGCCACCAACCACAGCTCCCCCGCCAGCACTCCCAAGCGCGTGCCCATGGGCCCCATCATCGTCCCCCCCGGGGGCCACAGCGTCCCGAGCACGCCCCCCGTGGTGACCATCGCCCCGACCAAGACCGTCAATGGCGTCTGGAGGAGCGAGAGCCGGCAGGTGAGTGCCTGGGGAGGGGTGGGCGTGACCAGAGGCCCCAGGTGTGTGTGTGGCGGGGGGGAGGAGGGGGGGACTTCCACAGGGGAGGCCTGGATTGCAGGGTTCCAGTCCCTCCCTCCCAAACCCATGCTCTCCTGGGGCTCTGTCTTCTCTGCAAAACGAGGCAACCACAGAGCCCACCAGGAGGGTCTCTGCAAAGTAGTAAGCCCGTTCCTGGGTGTGATTGCCTCCAGCTGCCACCACCAGCCCCAGGGACGGGCGCTGCCGGGTGTCCGCGGTTCTGGAGCCGAGAGTCTGGGATCAGGTTGCTGGGGGGCTGGTTTCTCCCGGGGCCACTCCTGGGCCCGTGGGCAGTGCCTTCTCCCTGCATCTCTGCCTGGTCTTCCCTCTGTGCACGGCTGTCCTGATACTCTCTTCTAAGGGCACCAGCCATGCTGGGTCAGTGCCCACGCTGAGGCCTCATTTAACCTCCCCGTTTCCCTGAGGCCTCCTCTCCAGATGCGGGCCCATTCTGAGGCCCTGGGGGCTGGGGCTTCCACACGAATGTGGGGGGACATGATGTAATGCTACCCGTAACCCCAGGTAAAGGGCTTAAAACTGTGTTTGCACATTACAGGCACTTGCTAGACAATAGTTATTATTATTGCCTATTGCTCAAACAAGGAATTGAATTGGAAAAGCCCAGCCCACCTTTTGATGTTTCTGTCCTAACTATGGACACCCAGCAAGGGGGCCCTTCCCAGCACTCGGGGTCCCAGTGTGTGGCCGCTGCCAGGTGACCCGCCTGTGCAGACGGGGCTGGTGGCCCAGGCCGGCCCCTCCCACCTGCTCTCCCCCCGCACCTGGCGCTCCCGGCCCCAGGAGCCGTTCCTAATTAAGAACACTGTCTCTGCGCTGCTCCTGGATTTTCCTGCCAAGCTCCCCGAGGGATGGCACCGCTTGGAAATACTAATTAAACCACAAAGAAAGCAGAGGGGAGGGGGAGCTCCCCCCTCGCCCCGTCCCAGCGTGCTCTGCAGGGAAGGGGTGGGCATCAGTGTCATCAGGCTCCGCCTTGTTTTCTGCCCCAGAGGGTGGGGGTGGCGCCCGCCAGGCAGGCCCTGACCTAGGGTGAGGGTCCCCAAGGCACCCATGGAGACAGCTGTGGCCTGGGACCCCCTGGGTGTGACCTTAACTTGCCCCCTCGAGGCCCCCCGTGCTGTATCGCCTAGAAGCTGCTGCCTTGGAGACTGGAGGGGCAGGGCAGGGCCGGTAGGCGGATCGTGGCCGGAGGGGTTCGGAGCAGCCACCGCTGCCCCCTAGTCCTGGTGTGCGGGAGGACAGGGGGTCTTTCCCAGAGTCTCCCCGTCGGCCACCTGGCAGTCAGCCTTGACCTCCAGCCCAGCCAGCTGGCTCACACAGCTGCGGCTCCTCGCCTCTCCCCTAACTCACTCGGTCCCGGGGGTTTCTGCATCCTGTCGTGTTCCTGGCTGGTCCCTGGCTGCACAGCCCCCCGTGTCCCCTTTGCTCCCACCCAGAGGGGCACCTTCCCTGCCCACCAGGACCCAGGGGGCCTTGTCAGCAGGCCCCGCCCGGCTCCGCGCCCAGAAACACTGGCCGACCCCGGAGAACGGGCCGGGCCACAGAGCTGCTCCAGCCCCTGGAACACGAATGCCACAGGGAGGGCAGAGGGAGGGAGCGGGATTAGCAGCTGATGGCTCATCGGCCCGGCACAAAGGCTCAGGGAGAACTTAATCCTCCCGGGGAGGGGGCTCGGGGAGAGGCATGGGGGCCGGAGAGAGGAGCGGCTTCCCAAAGGGGCAGCCAGGAGCCAGGGGGGCCTCCTGCGTGGCGGGGCTCAGGGGTCTGGGCCCCTTCACTGGGGTCACCCAGGTTCCCCAGGTTGTCGGAGCTCGGGAAGGACGGATGGAATGAAAAATCGTCTATTTTAAAGCTAACGGGGCATGTCCTGTCTGTCTGACGGGAAACCTCTCTAATCACCGGAGAATGAAGGATTTGCCTCCCTCCCCGCCTCCCCCTCATCCGTCTTTTCTTTCACCGCTACAGCTGCGCCTGCAGCCCCGCAGCCGTCGCGCGGAAAGAAAGGCTGCCCACAGCTGCTCCTCCGTGCGTGCCGGGGGCGGCGGGGGGGCCCAGCGGACCCTCTCGGGGTGCCCGGGTGGCCGCCGAGCCTCCTGGCTGGGCCCGGGTTGGGGACGGCTGTCGGGCCCACCCCACCCTGGGCAGCCCTCGTGCGCCCTCCCAGCCAGGTGACCTCATTCCCAGATGCCAGTCACAAGCTCAGCGGGCGCCAGCCAGACAGCAGGCACGTGGGTCTCCCCTCCGCCCCTGGCCTCTCCGACCCCTTGTCTGCCTCGGCCAGGCCGGGGCGAGGTGCCATCTGGCCCAGCTGCCATTCAGCGGGGCTTTGTCCCCTGAGGGGAGCAGGGGGCTTTATTCCAGGGTGGCCCCCTGCGGGCTGGACCCCTGGAGCTGGCCGGTGCAGGGACGTGGGACCTCCTCGTGACAGACGCAGGCCCCAACCTGGGGGTGACCCCTCAGGCTCGGTGTGGACGCAAGTGCTGGGAGTGGGTGCCTTGAGGCTTGGGGGTGCAGTGCTGTGTGAGCCTCCCCTCACCCCCACGGCCCCACACGTCTCCCACTTCCTGTCTGTACCTGGGCACCATCATTGCTGCTCTGTGAGCTGGCCCTGCAGTTGGCACAGGTGACAGATGGGGAAACCGAGGCCCGGGACCGTTATATAAGGGGTCGTCCAGGACCAGACAGAAGCCATCTCCTCGGGTGACCGGGGAGCTCCCCTACTGTCCGCAAAGGCAACTGGAGGACCCCGAGGCCGGGTGCCACCCCTGTATGGAAGTGACTGGAAAGCTGGGAGGCGGGAGCCGTGGGCTCCGACTGGCCCGGGGCACTGGTGCGTGTGTCCTCTCCGTGACGCCCGCCGCGTGAGCACCCTCGGGAAGGGCGGGTCAGAGGTCGTGACCCCGGAGGACCTCGCCGAGCGCGGAGGGCGCTGCCGCCGGGGGCCGGGAGCAGATGCTGCTGCTCATTAGGAATTCCAATCAGCCGCCGCCTGTCTCCTCCGATTAATTACCGCGCGCCTCCCGCAGGCCGAGCACGGCTCCCGCCCGGCCTGTTTGGGGAACGGGACTCCGCCTAGCTCGGCCCCCGTCCGCGGCCTGCCCACAGGGTCCTGCTGGCCAGTGTGAAGGTGGGGGGCGGCCGCGGTGCTCCGTCCCTCACCTCCGCCTGGGGGTCGTTAGGTAACGGGGGGCTCTGACACCTCCGCCTCCTGATTGGATGAAGACGGTCAGCAGAGCGGGGAGGGCAGCAGCTGGAGGATCGAGGGCCAGGGTCTCCTGGGGGGTCAGGCCTCAGCCACCACGTGTCCAATGGCCATTCCCGCATGGGCCCCTCAGCCTGCCAGTTCAGCGGGACAGTCCGGGGGCATGGCCCCCTGCATTCCCGGGCATTGAGCATTTGTGGCAAGGCGGAAACACCGCGGATTTGGGGTCGGTGAACTTGGGCGAGTGCTGGGGGGGCGCCACCTGCCTTCTCCGAGCCCTGTTGCTGTCTGGTCGGTAGCGGTCTGGCCTGACATCGTGCAGATCTGGCCACGAGGAAGGAGGCCTGGTAGGAAATGGGCTCCAGAGTCCGGCCGCAGCTCCAGGCAGGCGGAGAGGAGCCGAGCGCGGCACGGCGATGGGCCTCCGGGTGGCGCTGCTCCCGGATCCCGAGTGGGCGCCTCTGGCTGCTCTCTGTGCTCTCTGAGCCTTGCTGCGCCTGCCGTTCAGCCAGAGGAACCACCAGATGGCGCCTTCGAGGGTGTGGTTTCCGGGGCCGGACGCCTCTGGCTAAGCGTGCAGACCGTCCCTCTCCGTGGCTGCGTGGCACACTCGCCCTTGGCCCTGGCGGAGGCCTCTTGCTCCCCCTTCCTGCCTTGGGCCAGCCCTTTCTCAGCCCCGGGCTCCTCCTCTCTGCCCAGGAGTCTGGGGCAGATGCCGCCCATTGCCGTCTCCCCGCTCGGTGTGTGTGTGAAGGGGGCCCCCGGGCAGGTCTGGCCGGTCGAGGGCCTGCAGCTGCCTGTTCCGGTGGGTGCCAGGGCCACCGCAGGGGCTGGCTGGGAGCAGCGCGGGGTGTTGATCTCCCGGGCAGCGCCATCTTCTCGAGGCTGAGTCACTGCAGGCACCTGGGGTCAGGGTGTCTGTGATGCAGGCCCACAGCCGTCAGCACCTCGCGGCCTTGGCCCTGGGGATGGATGGCATCTGCTTCTGTTCCGCCTGCTGCCGAGCAGAGCTCACTTCCTGGGCGAGCGGGGCGCTGGGACCAGCCGCATCGAACTCTTCCAGTTTGGGCTCGGAGCACATGTGGCCTTGGGGGAAATCCATGCTGGGAGAGTGTGGGGAGCCCCTGCTCTCTGCCGTGTCCCCTCATGGACACTGGGTGCTCGTTGTGGTGCCCCCAGCAGTCCTTCCCCATTGCACCCAGGAGGGCAAGGCCCTCCCAGGGGGGTTTCTGTGCAGACCTGTCCCTCATTGGGACCCATGTTTCCCCTTCTCACCCTTCTGCCTCCAACGCCACGTGTACCACAGATTTGGGTAGAAAACCTTAAGGAAAGGCGTTTCTACAATAGAACAGCCACTACCTCTGAGTCTGCAGGAAGACCGGCTGGTTCTTGTCGGGGCCTTCCCTTACCCCCACCCCACCCCTGACCCACCGCGCTCTCGCCCCCAGGACACCAGCTCTCGGGGCAGCAGCAGCGGCCGAGAACGCCTCATCGTGGAGCCCCCACTGCCCCAGGAGAAGACGGGGGGCCCGGCCATCCCCTCCCACCTGCTCAGCACCCCGTATCCCTTCGGCATCTCCCCCAGCTCGGTGGTGCAGGACTCCCGATTCCCACCTCTCAAGTAAGTGCGGATTGGGGGGTTGGAGGCCTGCAAGTGCTCAGGGTCTGGGCCCCTGAGGCGGAGCTGGGAGTGGGAGCCAGGAGCCGGGAGCCTGCACCAGCTGAGGCTGAGGGCCGCCAGATGGTGGCTGAGCCCGGGCCCACAGCCGGTCTGCGCCTGCTGTCCGTTTCCATGCTGAGCTGATGGCTGGCTCTCCTATTCTGCCTAAGCCCCGTCCTGGCTCCTGGGACAGAGGTGCCTCTAGGCTGCAGACATGTGCCTGCTGGTGAGGACAGCAAGGGGCCAGGCTGCCCACCTCTGTGCCCTGGGCCTCCTGCCAGCTCCAGCATCTCGTTAGCGAGAGCTGGAACCCGTCCCCGGAGACTGGTCCTTCCGAGGGAGATGGAGGCCGGGAGGCCGACCCGTTTCCCAGCCTGGAGTGGCCCTCGCTCACCTTCGCCGCTCTGTCCCCGCTGCAGCCTCCAGCGGCCGGTGCACCACGTGGTGCCGCCCAGCACGGTGACCGAGGACTACCTGAGGAGCTTCCGGCCCTACCACACCGCCGAGGACCTCCGCATGTCCTCCCTGCCTCCCCTCGGCCTGGACCCTGCCACTGCCGCCGCCTACTACCACCCCAGCTACCTGGCTCCGCACCCCTTCCCCCACCCGGCCTTCAGGTGAGCTGACCGAGGCCGCCCCCACGGTCCCCACGGAGTCGTGTTCAGGCTGGTGTGCTCGGGGCAAAATGGAATCTGGCCAGGAATGTGTTCCTCATTCCTGGGGGCCAGGCTCCCAGTGAGAGCCTGGGCAGCCCCCCGGCCGTCCACACTGGCCATCGGGGTCTGCCCTGGTGCAAAGTCCCCACTTCCTGCCTTTGCCGGTGGCTCCCGGGCGGAACTGCTGACAAACAGCACCGGTTTCACGGAGAGGAGGGGCTCCTCGGCTGGGCACCACCCAGAGGAAAGGTGGGGTCACTCTGTAGAAGCCGCCCCAGCCGAGCCCCACGGGACTGTAGTGACGCGCGGACTGCCCCACCTGGGCCTGCTGGTCGGACCCGGGAAGGCGCTGGCCTGGCTGAGCCTCTGGGTGGCGGGCGGGGCCTTGGCACCCCGGGCTGTCGGCACCCAGGGGCCCCTGTCAGCGCGGGGCTTGGGGTTGGCCGGGATGTGCCTCGGCTGGGAGGCTGCAGGACCAGCCTTTATCCCTTTCACGTTGGTCTTCACTGGCCTGTCTTCTTGGCACAGGATGGACGACTCCTACTGCCTGTCCGCCCTGCGGTCCCCCTTCTACCCCATCCCCACCCCCGGCTCCCTGCCTCCGCTGCACCCCTCGGCCATGCATCTTCACCTCTCCGGGGTCCGCTACCCCCCGGAGCTGTCCCACTCGTCCCTGGCGGCGCTGCACTCGGAGCGGATGTCCAGCCTCAGTGCCGAGAGGTAAGTCACGGCCCAGGCCGGCGCCCTCTGCTGCCCCGGCCCCCGTGGCTCCCGTGGCCCCCGTGGCCCCCGTGGCAGGGTGGAGAACAGCCCGAGACGGGCCTAGCTTGGCCACCCTGTGGCTCGGTGGTTCCTCAGCCACTCCTGTCCTTAGTCTACTCCCCTGTAAAGGCGACAGTGGCAGTGGATGCTCCTTGGTGACTGTGGGGATCACCACCTTCTGGCAGGAGCTCTCAGCGAGGCCCAGGGTGTTAGTACTCAGCTTGTCCTATCGATGGCGGGGGGGGTGGTGGTGTCTAACGTCCACGATCCTCAGCTCAGGAGGCCGGGCTCGCCGTGGAAACCCGGCGTGGCCGTCGGTCCCTCGCGTCTGGGAATCCTCGTTCGTGGGCTGTCCTCCCCAGTGGCGCTCAGGCTCCCGTTCCGCTCCCACAGGCTGCAGATGGACGAGGAGCTGCGGCGGGAGCGCGAGCGGGAGCGTGAGCGTGAACGTGAGCGCGAGCGAGAACGGGAAGCCGACCGGGAGCGGGAGAAGGAGCGGGAGCGGGAGCGGGAGAAGGAGCGGGAGCGGGAGAAGGAGCGGGAGCTGGAGCGCGAGCGCGAGAAGGAGCGGGAGCGGGAGCTGGAGCGCCAGCGGGAGCAGCGGGCCCGCGAGAAGGAGCTGCTGGCCGCCAAGGCGCTGGAGCCCGCCTTCCTGCCCGTGGCCGAGCTGCACGGGCTGCGCGGCCACGCCTCGGAGGAGCGGGTCAAGGCCGCGGAGCAGCTGACCCCGACCCGCGCAGGTATGCCGGCGGTGAGCCCGGCGGACAGGCCTGGGCCCCGGGGTGCCTGGCTGCAGCCCGTGTGCTGGCAGGTCTGACGGTCCGCTCTCCCAGGGGCAGGCCTGATTCTGTAGCTTCTGCCAGCTCCTCGGTATAGACTCCCTCGTGGTTGGTTTAACGTTTCATTTCATAAATGCACACGTATCTGTCAGTAAGGGCTTATTTAACAACAACCGGCTTGCGTGACTTATAAACGGTGACTGTCCGCTCTGGTGAGCCGGCGGGTGCCTGCCAGCACCCCACTTCGGCTCGGTTGGCCCTGGGCTGGGTGGGAGCAGCACGTGCCAGCGGCCACATTTCCCTTGGTGCGAGGCATGTTTCCCCAAAGCACCCACGAGGCCCTTTCTGTTTGTTTTTTAAATATATTTTATTGACTTTTTTACAGAGAGGAAGGGAGAGGGATAGAGAGCTAGAAACATCGATGAGAGACAAACATCGACCAGCTGCCTCTTGCACACCCCTCACCGGGGATGTGCCCACAACCAATGTACATGCCCGTGACCGGAATCGAACCCGGGACCTTTCAGTCCCCAGGCCGACGCTCTATCCACTGAGCCAAACCGGTCTTGGCACGAGGCCCTTTCAGGTTGTCCTGGTCCCGGGCAGTCGGGTTCGAGAGAGAAGGAGGCAGGAGCCCCCGGGGCCTGGCGTGCGGGGTCCCGCTGTGACGTGACGGCCTCTCTCCCCCCACAGAGAAGCTGAAGGACGCAGGCCTGCAGGCGCCCAAGCCCGTGCAGCACCCCCTGCACCCGGCGCCCGCCCCCCACCACGCCATGCCCAGCCTCCTCTCCAACCACGGCATCTTCTCTCTGCCGGGCAGCAGCGCCGCCACGGCCCTGCTCATCCAGCGCACCAACGAGGAGGAGAAGTGGGTGGCGCGGCAGCGGCGGCTGCGGCAGGAGAAGGAGGACCGGCAGTCGCAGGTGTCGGAGTTCCGGCAGCAGGTGCTGGAGCAGCACCTGGATATCGGCCGGCCGCCGGCGCCCGCAGAGCCCGAGCACAGGCCCGAGAGCGCCAGGTAGGGCTCCCGGGCCAGGGCGCGTGGGGGGGGGGGGGGGGGGGACCGGTCACACTCCGATGGTTTCTAGGCAGCACTGACTGAGCACCTGTGGCTTGCCCGGCATCCTGCTAAGTGCCTTCACTTACTGCATTTCGTTTCCGTGTTCTAACTGCTGTTTGCCCACGAGGAAACGGAACACTGAGGAGGGAAGAGGAGGTGCTCAGAGGCACCTTATCCCTAAGTAACAAAGCCCACCAAGCCAGGGTCCAAAGCCAGGGACCTGCAAGGCGTTTCAAGAGCACGACGGAGATGCTTTAATAATGGATCATTATAGTCTGTTCTATTTCCTGTTTTCATGTGGCTGAGAAAGGGATCACTTTTAATTTTTAAGTGAAAAATTAACTTTATTGCTTCTGTAACAAAGATATACACCCATTTCCTGGGCCCATTATTACAGAACTCCCCAGCAGGCACTTTAGCTTGTCTCTGGGCCCCTGGCTGCAGACACTTGCTATGACCTTGGCCCCAGTCCCCCCCTTGTCATGGCTGTCCCCTAGGCCTCCTTGCTTCTACCTATCTGTCTGGCAGTCACCTGTTGTCCCCCCCTTCTCCCCGTCTCTCCAGGGCTCATTCCAAAGGGCCCGGCTGAGACCCTCAGTCAGTGGGAGAATCCAGCCAAACCTCTAGAGCTCTGTCTGGGCCTGGCCTGGGGACTCGGGGCCACCAGGTACTGCCCCCTTCTCTGGGCCTCAGTTTCCTCAGCAGAGCACCACGGAGGTTGGGCAGGGAGAATTCTGAGCATCCTTCCAGCTCTTGATATCCATTGTGCTGCCCTGGAATAAGACTCACTTGGGTGTTTAAGGCATTTTTTTTTTTTTAATTTTTAATTTTTATTTTTTATTTTTTTTATTTTTTTAATATATTTTATTGATTTTGTACAGAGAGGAAGGGAGAGAGATAGAGAGTTAGAAATATTGATGAGAGTCATCGATCAGCTGCCTCTTGCACACCCCCTACTGGGGATGTGCCCGCAACCAAGGTACATGCCCTTGATCGGAATCGAACCCGGGTCCCTTCAGTTCCCAAGCCAACGCTCTATCCATTGAGCCAAACCGGTTTCGGCTGTTTAAGGCATTTTAAATGTCCACTCGCTCCCTCCCTATTTCCAGCAGCTGTTGGCTGACATTTTCTTACTGAGTTCTGGGCTTGGCTGGCCCACCCTCAGCATCCAGTGTTGAATGGGCTGGTGAGAGGATTCGCTTGGCTAATAGGGTGTGACTGGGCATGAACTGCAGGCAGACCCCCGGCTGGGTTTCCCTGCAGCCTCAGGCCTGCTCTCTGCTGCTCCCTGTCCCTGTTTCCCTGAGGCCACAGAGAGGCTGAGTTCTGTCTGTTTTCAAGCTGCTTTCTGCTCCTCTAACTCCCCTCTCAGCCAGGGGGCTGGGAGAGCAGCCAGCGCAGGTCCAGTCTCCTGGTAAAATCCGGAGTGCTGGTTCCCTCAGGCATCTTCCTCGGCTCAGGGCCCCAACATCGGGTGCAGCTGTCAGGGCTCCAGCAGGGGGGGGTCCTCCGCCTCAGGGCTCCCAGCTCTCACCAGGCCTCGTGGTCCCCTCGGCAGCAGGTGGCACGCTCAGCCTTACAACAGCGTGAGTTTGACATTCTAACCTGCCCTTGTGCTCAGAGCTAGAAAACCATTCAGTGCTTGGCTCTGGTGCTTGCAATATTTATTCTGCTAATGGGCTTTATCCCTTCGTTGTTTGCTTAAGGACACACAGCTTGCTGTGTTCCCTTTTGTACTCGGGCGATCAGAGGTGCTACGGCGGCATCAGGGATCTCTCCCAGCCTGAGTCCCATCCCGGAAAAACTAGCAGGAGCCTCTTTGGCTGTGGTTAAACGTCTCCTTATTGGCCAGTCAGGGAGAGACCTGAGAGTCTGGTCACGTACCTGCAGAGCCCTCTGCCTCTTTCTCTTCTAGCCCCTCACACCTTGCCCTGGTCTCCTGGGCAGCATAGCACATCCCTTAAAAAATGGAGGCTTTGGGAAAACAACCACCATGTCGCCTTTTGTTGGATCTTGTTTAAATGCTTGGAGGAAAGAGTCGTTTAGGAGGACTGCATGGCAAAGCTGCTTGGTCTGATGGACATACTGATCAGGCCCCAGCCCAGCTCCTGCTTCAGGGCCCTGTGGGGCTGCTGCAGTTCTCACGGGGACCACTGGGGGTCAGCGGTGGCTCAGGCCCATCCTGCCTGTGAGGGTCCTTCTCCCCCCACCCCCACCTTGTCACTGGGCTGGGCAGCCCTGGAAACTGGTCTCTCTCTCTCTCTCTCTCACTGTTGTCTGCAAGGACAGTGTGGAGAGAGGAGTTGAGGCCGCCTTGAGGGCAACCAGCCCACCCTCCGTTATCTGCCCACTGCTTGGCATCTGGAAGTGGGTACCAATGGCAGGGTCACCCTTTCAGCGCCAGAATCCTGTCTTTATTCTCTGTGTAATGGGATTCCTGTGGAAAACTAAGATGAGGATCTGTCCTTACGGGAGGTGATGGGGATTCAGGAATTGATGGAATAGAATGAGCTATTGTAAGTTTTTTGGTGAGAAACCAGGTGGAAAGAGGGTCTGGCCAGGCCTGGGACCATCTCTGCGCCCTCAGCAAGCAGAGTCCACACACACACACACACACACACACAGCCTCCGTGTCCTCACAAAAGCAGGTCTACACACACTTGCCTCGAGCTGTTTGAAGAGGAAGTGTATTCTTGGGAAACGGCCAGCACTCGGGTGAGGAGTGGAAGCTGCGTCCTTCCCTCCGGGCCCTGGCCAGGTGGCTTAGAGGAGGCCTCTGCACTCTCTAGCGCCTGGCTCTCGAAGGGGGCTCCGGTCTGGGCCATCTCTGAAGCTGCCTCTTACACCCGGGCCGTGGCAGCCAGCCCGGGAGGCCCATGACAGGGTGGCTGGCATGCCCATTCTCACGGCTGACGGCTTGCTCTGTTCACTCTCCAGGCCGGGACCAAACCGTCACGAGCCGGGTAGCCGAGACACCCCACAGCACTTTGGCGGGCCCCCGCCCCTCATCTCGCCCAAGCCCCAGCACCACTCCGTGCCCACGGCCCTCTGGAACCCAGTGTCCCTGATGGACAGCACCCTGGAGACACGGCGGGCCCCCGAGAGCCACCCTCTGCACAGCCACCCAGCCCTGTTCGAGCCCGGCCGCCAGGCGGCAGTCCCGCTGGTGAAGGTGGAGCGGGTCTACTGCCCGGAAAAGGCGGAGGAAGGGCCCCGGAAGCGCGAGGCCACCCCCCTGGACAAGTACCAGCCGCCTCCACGGGAGGCAGGGAGCCTGGAGCACCAGGCCTTTCCTCACGGGCCTGGGCCCTTCCTGGCTGAGCTGGAGAAGTCCACCCAGACCATCCTGGGCCAGCAGCGGGCCGCCCTGGCCCAGCCACCCCCCTTCGGGGAACTCACTGGACCCCTGAAGCCGGGCTCACCCTACCGGCCCCCAGCACCACGCGGCTCTGACCCCGCCTACATCTTCGATGAATTCCTGCAGCAGCGCCGGAAGCTGGTCAGCAAGCTGGACCTGGAAGAGCGCAGACGGCGAGAGGCCCAAGAGAAAGGTCCGGTCTCCCCGGGTGGCCTCTGACCTCTCGGGACCAGAGAGCCGTAGTGCCCGCCACTCAGCCCCTCCTCCCACCCCTGCCTCCCACTCTAGGGTTTAGCAGCTCCAAGGCGCAAGGGCACTGGCTTCTGTGTAGCTACCTGCTCCCTCTGCTGGGGAGATAGACCCAGGGCCTTTGCCTGTCTTGCTGAAATGCAAATTGTCCCAAAAAGCCAAATCAAAGCCTGTCTGTAAAGACGGTTCAACAGAAATGCATGATTAATAAATGAACAGAGGCTAATAAGGCAGTTTTAAATATTAATAGTCCATCATAACGGGGGAGGAGGCTATTGAGAGACTGGGCCTAAGCCCAGCAGGAGCTTGGTAGAGGGAGCTGCCGTCAGTTGCAGGCAGTTAGGCCTGGGCAGGGGAGAAGGCAGGTCTGGCCACCTCCTTCCTACTCCTGTGGGTGAGGGGACTCAGCCAGCAGTGCACCGAGTTCTCCAAAGAACCAAGAAGAGCAGGTGAGCAGGCCCAGGGTGAGAATGACTGTCTCCACCTGCAACCGCCATGTGACCAGGAGGGGCCAAAGGCCCCACACCAGTTTCTCTTCTCCTGCTGGAAACTTGGGTCCCATGCGGTAGTATTCAATCTCTTAGCCAGAAGCTGAGGCTGAGGCCAAGACTTCCTGGGTTGTTGGTCTAAGAGAGATTTAGGGCCCAAGAAGGACTTTCTCCTCTGTTCACCTTGTGAAGGAAGAATGGGGAGCCCCTGATGCTTTTGGGTGCAGGGATTCTGCTATTCTCTGCACATTGAGTTTGCATGCATGCTGTGTGCCTTTGAGACAACGGGATCCGAGTGTGTGTCCCTCCTGGGTAATGGGCCCAGATGGCCACAGCAGGAGTGAGCTGATGTGCACAAACAGTCTTGGGTTGCCATGGACACAGCCCCAGTCCTGTGTGACGAAGGGGATCTGTGTCAGCCCAGGAATTGCCTGGCCCCTTGGGGGCTATGGGTCCAAGCCAAGCCTGGTGCCTGCCTCCTGCCACCGCCTGCCATTCCTGAGAAAGTTCTAGGCCTAGGGGCTGATGCACGTTTTCACCTGGGTTGAAAGGAATCGAGGTTTCGGGGTACTAAAAGGACTGGCAGGGCCTGGCCTTGATGGGTGGGGTCTGCACAAAGATCATAGGGGTCCTGCCCCATGTCCATCCACTAGAGCACGGAGTGTTCTTGCCCAGCTAAATACAGCTATTCTTGTCGTCAGGATACTACTACGACCTGGATGACTCCTACGATGAGAGTGATGAAGAAGAGGTCAGGGCCCATCTCCGCTGCGTGGCCGAGCAGCCGCCCCTCAAACTGGACACATCCTCCGAGGTATCGGGTCTCATCACTGCTGTTAGGCTTCGTGCCCACATCAGCACCTGCCTCGTGGCTTTCCCGCTGTCCCAGTAGACCCCACGTTTGCTGGGCTCCCCCTCGCTCCTCCAGTCCCCACGGACTGCAGGTGTCTGGGCGTGCCATCGGGGTCCCCCTCCGAGGCCCCGCACAGAGTTGGCCGTGGTACCTGGGCTTGGAGGACCCCAGGAGGGGCCCCTGGGACAGTGCAGCCACACCACTGCTGGTGGTTTTCAAACTCATTTGTTTTCTTTCCCAATCTAGAAGCTAGAGTTTTTGCAACTTTTTGGCTTGACCACCCAACAGCAGAAGGAGGAACTGCTGACCCAGAAGCGGAGGAAGCGGCGGCGGATGCTGAGAGAGAGAAGCCCATCGCCCCCGACGATTCAGAACAAGCGGCAGACGCCCTCGCCGAGGCTGGCCCTGTTCACCCGCTACAGTCCCGACGAGATGAACAACAGCCCCAACTTCGAAGAGAAGAAGAAGTTCCTGACCATCTTCAACCTGACCCACATCAGCGCCGAGAAGAGGAAAGGTAAGGCCTCACCTGGGCCCCTTGGGGGTGGGGCTCACTAGGAGCTTCTAAGGAGCAGGTGGGGTTCATAAGGCCCCCCGGGGCTATCCGGGACCCACGTTCCAGGCAGAACCGGAAAACACTTTGGCCCAGGGCGCTCTTACCTCTTCTGGGCTCCCCAAGGAAGCAGCGAGCAGACCTGCCCCACCGGCTCCGCCTTCTTCCATCTGAACTCAAAGTGTCCCACTCGCAGCCTGTTGTCCCATTTCATCCGGAGCGGAAAAGAAACTTGCGAGTATTTTGTTCTGTATGTAAAGCAGCTCTTGTCACTTGAGGCAGGTTTAGCGACCCTCCTGGCTTGAGGCTTAGTGCTTCCTCCCGTGGCGGAGCGCTCACTCCAGGCGTTTCCTCTTGCGGGGCCACAGGCATGGCCCACTGGGCTTCGTCTCCGATGGCAGGAGGCTTGGGTGGGTGGTCTGTGGCCGCCTGCAGCCGACGCGCATTGTGAGTGGGCAGCTTGCCCTGAAAGGTGCTTCCAGATCGGCCCTGTTAGGACGGACACTCTGGGCTGGAACACGTGGTGCAGAAGACGTGGTGTTGTGTAAATGCTTTCTGAGGATGTCCGCTTCCTTGATCGGCCACACGCTCGCTTAGTGCCGGGATATTGGTTGATGTGAGAACTTGGCCTGTCTGGAGTGCTCATTTGCGCCCTTCCACGTCCCCCTTGCTGACACCTGCTCGCCTCTCTCTGCAAGGAAGACAAAACTAAAGCAAAAGTGTATTGGTTATTCAGTTGCTTCTACTTACTTCTCCATTGGTGTGTGGCCTTTTTGGTCTTGAACCAACACGCTGGAATTCTCACGTTCACCTCGAAGGGGCAGGGACGTGTGATGAGCAGCATGAGTCTCTGGGAAGGTGCCCAGTTCTGTTGTGGAAAATGTCTTTCCACCCGACATATTCCTAGAGGAAGCCACTGAAGTCTCACCAGGAAGTGCCACAGCAGCAGGAATTCATGGCATCGAACATTGCAGGTGTCTTCCTTTTCAACAAGTGGCAGCCATCGTGGGCATTGATGCCAGGGGGAGGAGGGGAAGAGAATGCGCCGGGAAGCAGTCTGCGCTTCCAGGGGTTGCTTCCTTGTGTTGGGGCCACCATTTTTGTCTTTAAAAAAAAAATGCATCCTCGAAGTTACCGTGGAAGACCACAGCTACCCATCATTTCCATAGCTGTCATCACCACATACACGGCTATTTTGGGGATACCCCTGAAATGTTACACAGTAAAAGCTGAGAGGCATCTGGGCTCACTCTGACACCAAGGTTTCTTCCTTTACACACCACCTGTCCCAGTGGTGCCAGCTGTGTGTTTTTTCTTGGTTGAAGGACTTGAACCAGCCAGTCACAGCCTGGGCTACAATCCTGCCCCCTTCCCTCTCAGAAATGATGCAACTTGTCTTGTTAATCTCAGGCTGCTTTTCTCATAGACAAAGAAAAACTTGTCGAAATGCTCCATGCCATGAAGCAGAAGGCACTGTCCGCAGCAGTGGCAGACTCTCTCAGGAACTCTCCGAAGGACAGTCCTGCTGTCTCCCTGAGCGGTAAGGCCCAGGCCGGGAAGAACAGCCCCATCCGCCACTGCCCAGGATCGTCCGGTGGGCTGCCCAGGGTCAGAAGCAACTGCTCAAGGTCTTCAGAACATGAATCTTCCGTCCTGGAGACAGAATGTGCTTCTCTCCCTCTCTCTCTCATATAAGCTTCCTCCATGGTGAAGGATCTCCTCGGGCCAGAGCATGAGAGCTGGAGTCGGGGCTTGGAGGGTGAAAGGGAGGGTCCAGGCTTCCGGCCGTCAGTGTAGGTGTAGCCATCGTCCGTCAGTCCACTGGTGGCCCAAGCCACAGCTCTGTATCCCAGGTCTCAGCACCTCTACTTCGGCTCTGCTGCTGCTGTCTGCCCTTCCTTGGCACTCTCCTGCGTCTGTCTTGCTCATTCTGGCTTCCAGGCCTCTCCAACATCTGCTTTCACACCTTCTCTCTTTTATGGCTTTGACGACACGTTGCTGTGCTGCTGAACAGAGCAGATCTTTACTATCCAGTCCTGTTCTTAACTCCTAATGCAGTCTTTCTTGTCCGGTCGGGCTACATAACTTCTTGCCTTTTGGATGACTTGCTTTTTCCTTCAGATTCTTTTTCTTCCCAGATGCTTTCCTGGAGCACCTCCTAAGGATGGACTTGCCGCTACCACACCCCGTCTTCAGGCCACACCTGTGCACTGACATTTAATTAAACGGCTCCCTGAGTCTTGGTCCTTTGTACTAGGTTTTGTCAAGTGTAAGCTGTAGGGGTCAGGGCCCACCTGGTGTCTTGCAGCTCTTAATATTTTCCTCGCTTTCTGTCTCTAAAAGAACCAGCCACGCAGCCAGCCTCTCTGGATATGGAAAAGCCGGTGGGTATTGCTGCTTCCCTGTCTGATGTCCCAAACGCCATGGAGCTTGGGAGACTGGAACAGCTCCGGCCACAGGAATTGTCTCGAGTCCAGGAGCTGACTCCTGCCAGCGTTGAGAAGGCCAGGTCGAATGAGGCCCCTGGGGGCAAGAAGAACCTGAGCATGATGCATTACATCAGGGGCCCCGCGCCCAAGGACATTCCCGTGCCACCGTCCCACAGCATCAACGGGAAGAGCAAGCCGTGGGAGCCCTTCATACCAGAGGAGTTTGCACATCAGTTCCACGAGTCCGTGCTGCAGTCCACCCTCCAGAAGCACAAAGGTAAGGAGGCTGCCCCCCTGGGCACACCCCTCTGGCACTTCAGTGTGCACGAGGCCCCTGGGGAGGTCGTTACAGGCAGATTCTGCCTCAGCAGGTCTGGGTGGGGCCCAAGAGTCTCCATTTCCAGCTGGTGCTCAAGTGATGCTGATGCTACCGGGCTGGGGCCCTCAGAGAAAAGTTGCCATGTGATGCCACCTGAGTTTAGCAGCGGCCCGTCTTTTAGTAAGGCCAAGCGAGGTGCCATTCTGGCCAAAATAGGGTCCCTGTGTCCTACAGCTGAGCGTTTTCCCAGTGTTCCCATACAGACTCACCTGGAAATCTCCCCTTCCTTTAAGACTAGACTCGATGGGCCTGGTGAGCCCTTTGTGACCTAATGGTTGTGCTAGCCCTCATGTGAGCCCCCACATTCACTCTCCCAAAGTTTGGTGGGAGTCACTGGTGGTTGGAGATCAGGGTTTGCTGCATCTCATTTCCACTGTTTCTCCTCCCAGGGAGCGTAGCCGTGCTGTCTGCAGAGCAGAACCACAAAGTTGACACGTCCATCCACTACAACATTCCTGAGCTGCAGTCCTCAAGCCGGCTCCCTCTGCCCCAGCACAACGGGCAGCAGGAGCCCCTGGCCGTGAGGAAGGGCCCCCTCACACAGGAGACGGACCAGGACTCGGAAGAGGAGGAGGAGGAGGATGGAGAAGAAGAGGATGACGAGGAACCCCCCAGGCGCAAGTGGCAAGGGATTGAGGCAATTTTTGAAGCTTACCAGGAACATATAGAAGGTACAAAGGGGAGGGAGGAGCAGAATGAGGGCCCAGTAAAGAAAGTCACTAAAAGCTTAATAGACCCATCAGCACAGGACTTCACTGCCAGCATTAGGGACAGTTTCTAAGCGACAGGACTGGCAGATTTTCTGGGGCACTAGATGCCTATACTAGAAGGTGGATTTTCCTCCACTGTTTTGCCCATTTTAAGAACTGTTTCTCAGGTTTCTGTAGGTGCCCAGGCTTACTGAGAGTGGCAATTCCTCGCGGACAAACTTGAGATCATTGTCACTGGAGCTACATACAAGGGTCCTGGAAAATGCAAAGCTCATTAATTTAGCTGAGCTCCGACTAGCTGGGCCTGATCCTTGTGGGAGCCTGCCTTGCCTTAGAAGTGTCTCAATGCTGGCAGCACTTTCCCTCTCAGGCTCTGTCATCCTCCTGGACCAGGCCTTCTGTGCAGGGAGGCAAGTCACCAGAATGTTTTATCCTCAGCTGTGGGTGCACACTCCATCCCTGCCTGGTGGAACACATCCTGTGGGCACACCCCTCCCGTGTACCGAGTCATAGGCTTGCGCGCTGGTGTTCTGGCATTGCCGTTATGTTCCCAGCACACAACCCCCCTTCTCTGCACATCATTTTCCTTGAGATGCCTGCGAAGGCCCCTTCCAGCTTAGTCAGAGACTGTGTGCTGTGAACTTGATGCAGGGGAAGTGGAGGAGTCCAGCCTTTCCCTCCGGTGGAACAGGCAGGTGGGCTCCCGGGAAGGACGAGCACTGACAGGCCCTCGGAGCTCCTGGTCTTGGTCCCGCTGACATGGTGAGCCGCGCCCCTCTGCACTCTGGCCCTCACTGCATTGGCAGTGCTGTCAGTTTGATGTGAGAAATGCAAAACTTGGGCTGCCACCTCCTAATTAATCCATTTCCATATCACACAAGTTTTATCAATATCTATGTTGTAGATGTTAAATATAAACATTTGATTATGAATCCATCATTTCAAATACTTTTAAAAGTTAAGAGACAGACCAACAAAGGGACAACCAGAGTTATCAATTCCTACCTTTCATTCCCTTTCCTCCTTCAAATGGAATCCTATATTTGAATTTGTCCATCACTTCTTACATGTTGCTCTTTTAAGTACATACATATGTATCCAGAAGCAATGTATAGCATTATTATTTACTCCAATGGAGTGCGATGCATCCACTTTTTCTGGGTTGATGTTGGTGACTTGTTTGGGAATTCCTTCCCTACCTCCAAGGACATAATATTCTGCATTTCCTTCTAAAAGTATTCACATTCTGCTTCTCTTGTGCCTAGAATTCATTTCTGTGTGAGAAATAAGGTAGAAATATAACCTCATCTTTCCCGCCGGGGTAAGCAGTTATCCAGGCGGTTTCCAGGATGCCTCTGCCCCCGGGCATGCCCATCGAGCAGCACCCTCCCCCGTGCCCAGGTCTCCGCGCGTTGGGGTCTGGCCACATCTTCGCAGCGCTCTATTGTCAGGAGTAACTCGCCCCGACTTGTTCTTCTCTATCAGCTCAGCTGTTCTTGGCCCTTGACTTTTAGGATCGCCTTAAGTAATCAGACGATCCTTTTGTAGATTGTTGAGTTCTTTCCTTTTGAGTAACTTTTTCTCATACTGCATTTCCTAGAACCTCTAAGCCACTGAATTAGAGGCACTGACAGGGCTCTTGTCTTGTGAAACTTTACAAGTGGCCCATTAAACATCTCATTTGCTGCTGAGTTTATGGTATACAATTGTCAAAGGTTCAACTCCTGCATTTTCTGTACCCATGGAGATGATGACCCTATTGCTTTCACCTGTTTTCTAATGTCGTTTCCTCCTTGAATTTACTTCTTTTGAGGTTTTAAATCTACGTAAGTGGTATTAGGAGCTAATTTTATTGTATTTATTTTGCTGAAACTGTTCTAGTTTCTGTAACATTAGTCTGGTAGCCTTCCCTGGTTTTTATTCTTGGAAATACCGTGTGATGCAGGGATTTAGCCTTGAAAGTTTGAAGTCACTCTTCTGTTAAAACCAGGCCTGGAATCTTTTGGGAAGAGCAGAGATTTCATTTTACTAATTAGAACGCCACTTTGACTTTCCAGGTTTATTCTGGCTGTTTCTATTGTACCAGTTTAAAAACTGCCAAGGCTAATTCCAATATTTTTTATCTTTCTTTTTTAAAAATGTATCTTAAGGCCATAAACTTACCCTTAATTTCTTCTTAATCTGTATCCCTTAAGTTGCCTTTTGATGCTTGATCCTTTGATTCCACTGGGCTGGATTTAATTTAGTAACACTGACATATTTACCAGCGTGATACCAAGAACTTGGAGCATTATGGTCCCAAGGAGAGTACTGTGCTGGCCGCATTAGAGAGGGAGAACAATCGCCAGAGTCTGTGATCCCTGTACACAGAAAATACATCAACATCGCTTGTCTTTTCAGAGCAAAACCTGGAGCGGCAGGTGTTACAGACGCAGTGCAGACGGCTGGAGGCCCAGCACTACAGCCTCAGTCTCACAGCAGAACAGCTCTCCCACAGCATGGCGGTGAGTCTGGGTTCGCCACACACAGGAAAAGGGATGAAAATCAGCTCCAGAGGCTTTAAAACACACTGTGCTTTTGTTTAACCTTTCAAGTTTGGGTTCAAGATTAGCCATTACAGACAAGTTTTGAGGGAAATTCCTGCTCTTTAAGAGTTTAAAGCTTGTCGTGTTAGGGAAGACGTTCAAGGCTCAGTTGGTTACTACCCTAGCCAAGGAAAGAGACATCACTAATTTGCAGAATATTGATCCTGGAAGAATGAAGGCGCTATTTATACATATTCCTTTGGGGACTTATTTATTGCCTTTGTCAGTCTCTCCTGCTGTGATTTGCTAAGGGGAAAGGAAGAAAGATTTTACTGGAGTAAGTTACTGAGGAAAACAAAACACCTCCTTCCTCTTTGCAGCCTGGCCCAACAGGTCTCCCAAGTATGACATGTGGCAAACCCCACGGGCTTCCTCCAGTGGGGATGTGAGGCTTAGATCAGGTCTGCACATCTTGGCCACTCCTAAGCAGTAAAGGTTTTAATTTTTAAAGCTCAGGGTCAAAGCTGAGACAACAGTGGACACTGGTTCCATGAGAACAGGTATTGTGAGAGCCCAAGACTTTGGAAGAACCAGTTCAGCCTGCCCCAGAGGCGCTGTCAGAACACTGAACTGGGAGGAGGAAGTTTTCAAAGTGGCCTCCAGCATGTTTCTACATCACATACCGTTTCGTGAAAGAATTGTTTAATGTGAATCTCTCTCTCTCTCTCTCTCTCTGCAGGAATTGAGGAGCCAGAAACAGAAGATTGTCTCAGAAAGGGAGCGAATCCAGGCAGAACTGGATCACTTCCGGAAGTGCCTTGCGTTGCCTGCATTGCATTGGCCTAGGGGTTATTTTAAGGGATATCCTAGGTGACGGTTTCCCTTGCACTAGGCTGAACCTATAGTATAGAAATATTATCTATTTTATTACCTTGAATATTTAATATTTTTCACTGGGAGGTTTGAAGCTTAAAAAAAATAATAATAAAGAATGTGCCATGCATGAAGCAAAGGATTCCAGACTCCAGAAAAAGAACGAACTCACCTTGACTTTAATGCAACTGAACCACCTTTGTAATTCAGCGAGCAACCAATGTAGGACGTCGCCCATATATTTTTTTAAAAGGCAGTTTTCTTCTTTCCCCATGTCACCGTCTTAAAATCTGAAAATGAAGGCTCCATTACCAACACTAAAACTTTTGTCATTTATAGCCCCTGGGTGCATAAGATTGGATCAAACCGCTTTAGTTCTATTTCTTGTGTTGCCACATTACTAGGCCTGGTGACCCAAGCTTGCTTTTGCTGCAGCATCGGGTGGGTCTCATTCCTCCCCAAGACCGAGACCTGCTTCAGCTGAATGAAGGTGGGTGCATTTTAAGTGAAGGGCTTACTTGTTTTGGTTACTTTTCTGCAAAATTTTCTTCAAAGCAACAGTACTAAAGCCTCACCAAAAGCAGGCTTTTCCGTGGAAAAGCTCTTACCTAAAGATAACGCAAAGTCGACAAAACTGAAGGTACCTTTTTTATTACTCCATGGGGAGGGGGGGAGTGTACAGAGCTCTATGTATACATATATTCACGCCCACTAAATTGTTGCTGCAGTGGGGGTGTTTTCATACAAACAAATTTTGAGAGAAAAGTCAAAGGTGCTTCAGCCTTGTACTGTGTATATATATTAAAAAAACAAAGTTTTGTATGTTTTTATTACTTTAATTATTGTTATAAAAGGCCTGCCATTTTTAATATGTGGTTTTGGGGGATTTCTGTTTGTTTTCCTGTTTTGGGGTTTTGTGTTTTGTTTTGTTTTTTGTTTTTCTGGGCAAAAAAAAAAAAAAAAATGCAAAAAAAACTTGCTTTTAGTGTTTGTACTGCTGCTGGTCAGGACATTAAATATTGAAGTGTTTTTAAAAATTAAAGAAGAAGAAAAGTTAAAAGAGCTTACCACTGGCGCCTATGCGATCACTTCATTTTTGAGTTGCACCAGAAAATGACGTAGAAAGCCATGCGTTACTTCTTACCTCCTCCTCTACCCCCTCCCCCCTGCTCTGGACAGCAAATAGCAGTTACACCTAGTTGCTATCAGTGAGGAGGGGCGAGTCTATGGTGAACAAGACAGATACTGGGTGTGCACCTATGCATGCACCTACAGGCATGGGGCTTTTTGTAAAAGAACCTTTCAGGAAGTGAGCAGTTTCTGTGATAGAATTCGAAGGTGTCTTACAGCAGTCTGAGAACAGGTGCAAAGTAGAAACTCTAGAGGCTTTATTTAGATGCAGAGCTTTGTAAAAGCCTAAAAGTAGGATAAACAATATCAGAGCTGAACTTCTCCTCCTTTTGAACTGACTGTGACAAGCACAGGAGCAGCTAGAAACTGAGATAATCAGATCAATATAAAGCAACGGGGAAATTTTTCCTCCTTGTCCCAGTTAACTGCTCATTCAGGCAGGGTTTAATCTAGATCAAGCAAGTATCTCTTGCCTGAATGGGCTTGAACCAGAGGCCAAAGCAGCCAGTGGTTGGTCTGCCAGGGGAGAGGGGATGGGAGGAGGTCTGAGCATGAGCACGCCTCCCCTTTACCCAGGGGAAGGGCTGGCTGACCTTCATGAAGGCTACTCACTGTGATCAGTGGCCGCACCCTCAGCCCCAGACCTTAGCTGTGCAGAACAGCTTGCTGGCAGATGGCATTGTGTCGCTTTATCTGTTCCCACACAGTTTGCTTTGTATGTCTGCCAAGAATCTTCCAGTTATTAGCAAACTCAGACAAAAAGTGCCGCCAGTATTATCAGCAGTCAACAAGCGCCTTCCTCTCCACAGAAACGATGTGACGAGATCTAAGGGCTGTTCTGTGGGCCTCCCCTGCAAAGACATTGAGAGATCAACATGTCCCACAGGTGGGGACAGGTGTTTAGAGGGAACTATTGCCAACAATCAGGGCAAAATGTCACTGAATTTCTCTCTTTAAAATCTGCTTGCTGCTTCTGGTCTGAAAGCTTAAGAGCTACATCTTAGCACTTCACTCCCAGTCCTCCTTTGCCATCACAGAATGTCTGAGTACTAGTACTTTTGCTGATCAGCTTTGGTAATGGCCTTGGCTTAGAAAAAGAAAAAATGTAGATCTAATAACTTGATGGGAAAGAAAAGCAGAGCCCCATTCCTCCTCCAGCCCAGGGGCACTCCCTTGGTGGGGTTTGTTTAGCTGTCAGGGAGGACGTCCCTGAGCTAGTAGTAACTGCTTTTCCTCCTTCCCATTGGAAACGCCACTATCACCCTGCACTTGAGCTTCTCTGTCACTCCACCACACGTCTCTGGAGATCTCTGAATATTCTTAGGTTTAAGAAGTAAAATAACAATCAGACAATATAAATATAAATATAAAAGGCAGCATAATAAACTAACAAAAAGGTAAAATGTCTTTTGAAAACAAATGCCACCACTAAGACACAGTACCCAATAATTTTTCCATCCAATAATTCTAAAATCTTAAAACATTTTCATCTCATCTAATTTTCTTTTCAATTTGGGCTTAAAAATGGACAAATAAGTGCTCTCTGGAGATTTTGTTCAGCTATTTCAGACCGAGTTTAAAAGACAAAGCTCAGAAGAACACCAAATTTGCTCTATAATTGATCTTGCAACCTGTGTCAGTCCTCCACGGCCTCATGTGCTTCCTACAGCACTGGCAGGAGGCGGCTGAGTTAAACTTGTGAGAGAGAGACACCTTCCAAAGCCAAATCCCCAGCTTTGCATTTAATCAAATATTTAGAGACAAACCAGAGTGTTCCTCAAAACCTGGAGCTATATACCTGATCATTTGAAAATGAATTGGTTCTCTGTTTCATATAATCAGAGCCAAACTGACAGTGAAAACATTTCATGATATAACCCATTATCTAAGATAAATGGCCAAGGTAGGGTTTTCAACAGTACAGTCTATATATTCTAAAGGAAATTTAAAAAAAAAAAAAACTAAATTGGCATTAATATTCTATTAGACAATAAATACCCTTAAAGAAACTCAAAGAATATTCAAAGGAGCCCATACTTCAGCAGTGAAGAATTAAAAGAAATCTTAAGTTTGTACATGGAACGGTGTTTCCTAAATGCTGCCGAATCTCAGAAATTACATCAAGATACTCCCTTTCCCTCTGAGCCATGTTTTCTAAAGAGTAGAAAATTCCAAGGATCCACCACAAGATGGAGATGATCAGCACAAGCCGATTCTGTTACTCTTAAATAAGTGTATATTAGCCATTTAGCAGCAATCCCTATACTCTTTCAAGTAACCAAGCTATTGACTTTCTTACTACTTGCAGTAGCCTGTCCCCAACTTTTGATCCAGCACTTAACTTAAACTCCTTAACTCTGCCTAGACCTGAGGAAGACCATGCTAATCGGTTGTGTTACTTTGTATGTACCCTGTGTTTAATTGCTAGAACAGTAAACCAGTACATGGGAGGGAGAGGAACAGTGCCTCGGTCACTCTGGGGGCAGTTTAGATGCTGTGAAATTAAACCTGTTCTAAGTGTACTTGTTTGAATTAATTGTATTGTAATATTATTTGTTGAATGTAGTAATTAGGTATTTATGAATATATTGCTGTAATTTCTGACAACATCCAAAAAAATAAAATCTTCCTAAATCATGCTAAGAGAAAAATCTTTTTTATGTTATAGTAAAAAAACAAAAAAGGCCAATTTATTTTTTTAATGCTCAACAACTATATAGCTTTACAGGTAAAATGTGAAGACAGATCCAATGTACCTCAGTCAGGTTTTAGGAGAAAGGGATTAAGGGGCTGATCTGAGATACACAGGACCCCTGACCCTTCACAATAAAGTGGTTTCAATCAAGAAGATTCCCCGGATTAAAATCTGAAGTAAAAGTGACAAGAAAGGGCTAGTCCTGTCATATGACAGCAGTCCTCTAAACCAGCAGTTGCCAACCTTTCGAACCTCTCGGACCACAGGTTGGCGACCACTGTTCTAAACAGTGACCTTAACTGATAAAAACAAGTCTGTATCCTAATCCCTGTGCCTGGCCCTGCGGTGTTCAAACAACCATCAGCTGCTTGTTGGAGGGACATCTAAATGGATAGCAATTTGGAATGGAGAAACGGAAGTTTGGACTTTACTTGTAAACACAAGAGCAGATATCAACAGGTCTCTTCCAGGCTCAGTTGATCACATACTGGCCTCAAAACTCCCTTGAGATAGCATGCGACAGTAGAAAACCTGGTTTCAGAAACTGCCACTCATTGTACAATTCTAGACCAGCAATTTCTAACCAGTGTGCCACAAGCATTTTTTAAATATGGAATACCTGACTATATAGTCAGGGGCACGGACCTCTTTTCCCTTTTAGGGGTGTCGAACTCAATCAGAGAAGGGGCCAAAATCTAAAATCCAGCCTAAATCGCAGGCCGAATGGTTTACTGAACAGTCATAAACTGTCATTGTGATGGAAACGCAGCGGAGTGCAGTGATGACAGCGCCGTGCGGGCCACATTGCAAGGCCTGGCGGGACGGATTTGGCCCGCGGGCCTTGTGTTTGACACATGTGCAGTCAAATAAAAAGTGGCAGTAGCCAACCCAATAACTGTCAACAGTGTGAATAAATCAAAATTACACCTATTCTTTTTGGCCAGATTGGCAAAAAATATTTTTTGGTGTGCCGCAGAATTTAAGTAATTAGTTTATGTGTGCCATGAAATGATAAAGGTTGAAAATTGCTGCTCTAGACAATCTTTTCCCCTTTCAAGGCAATAAAATTTCTATGAGGAATTTAGCAATTCCAAAACACTATTTGAATTTTTTTTTTTCTTAGAATTTACCCTTCATTGAGCCACTGCTACCTATGACCATCTTACCCTAAAACCCATCAAGAGCAGTTATAGGTCCAACTTTTAGCACTGTGCTTCACTCATGTACTCAATAACATGTAGTTTTAAAAGCAACCCTTTAACTGTAACCAGAAGTAGCAAAGATAACTAGAGACAACCAGAGTGTTTGAAACTTACAGCCTGCAACACACCTCGGTTTGGTCTATCAGATCATTTTAGCCACATGGCTTAAGCAGGAAAAAATAAACCCAACAGATAGGATTGATTCCATCTTTATTCTGCATCAGGGTTTACCAGGGGTGGGGAATATCTGGCCTGTGGGCCTTATAAGGCACTCTAAATCATTTGGTCTGGCCCTACCAAGGCATTAGAGGTGTTAATTAAATGTTTGACCAAATACAGCAGGCTGATTTTTAAGTTGATCATTTTGTATGGCCTGCAAATGATGTTATAAAATATCCAAACGGCCCTTGGCAGAAAAAAGGTTCCCGACCCCTGGCTGAGATGATCAACCCCAGTCGGCATCACAAGCCACCATCTGCCATCCTTCTCTCTGTGAACAATCTCTAGATTCTAAATTCAGCCAAAAAGAGCCATATCCTAAATAATAAAAGCCTAACATGCAAATTGACCATCACTCTACACAAGATAGCTGCCCCCATGTGGTCAAAGATTGCCATCCCCATGTGGACACAAAATGGCCACCACAAGATGGCCAGCAGGGGAGGGCAGTTAGGGGTGACCAAGCCAGCAGGGGAAGGCAGGGGTGACCAGGCAGGTAAGGGAGGGTAGTTGGGGATGACCAGGCTGGCAAGGGAGAGCAGTTAGGAGTGACTGGGCCAGCAGGGGAGGGCAGTTAGGAATGACTGGGCCAGTAGGGGAGGGAAGTTAGGGGTGACCAGGCCTGCAGGGGTGGGCAGTTAGAGGCAACCAGACCTTCAGAGGAGGGCAGTAGGGGCAAAAGGGCCACCAGGGGAGCAGTTAGGCCTCATCAGGCTGGCAGAGGAGTGGTTAAGGGATGATCAGGCTGGCAGGCAGAAGTGGTTAGGGGCAATCAGGCAGGCAGGCAAGTAGTTGGAAGCCAGCATTCATGGATTGTGAGAGTCCTGGCAGTCAGACATCTCTCGAGGGGTCCCAGATTGAAGAGGATGCAGGCTGGGCTGAGGGACAACACCGCTCCCCTCCCCACCCCCCGTGCACGAACTTCGTGCACTGGGCCTCTAGTCAAAAAATAATAAAAAAGCCCTAGGGGCATATCACCATTTGTATGTCTGTCTTTTCAAAGCAACATGTAACATCGCTGTACACTCACCTACACATAATAGGAGACCTGAGACCCTGCTAGGGAGAATGGCTTGTTTGCTGAAGCTTTTTCTTTCCTCCATAAAGGAACAGGCAACTGCTGGTTTAGAAGATTGCTGGTTTAGAGGACTGCTTTCATATGACAGGACTTGCCTTTTCTTGTCACTTTTACTTGAGTCCTTCACAGTTGGGAATATCTGAAGAACTAAGCACAACCTGTTGCTTTCCAATGATGTTATGAATCCATTCCTTGCTTCACTGCACATTTTTCTAACATTCAAATGGTTCTTGAACCCAGCACTATGCACCTCTATCAGGTCCTGAGCACTCACACATTATCGGGGAGCCTCATGCCAGCAGACACAAGGCCTTTACAAATCAAAAGTCATTCTCTAGAAGTCCTGAGACTGGGCACTTTCAGAAGGTTGCAGGTTTGTGCGGAGTTTGTACATGTGATTGAGAGCTTGTGTGAGGAATGCCCCACTGGTGTTGATCTCCATCAAGGTCAAATTATCCAACTAAAACACAAGAGAAAACACAGGGTTGGTTTGAGAAGTTTCTGATTTTGAGAAAAAGGTAAAAAATCTGAACAAAAACAAGAAATCAATAATTTTTAAAAGCACAGCCAGTGATTCGCGCTTGTGATAGCCTAAGCAGGCAGAATGCTGTAGGAGTCCCCCAGCACTACACCTACCTTTGCATGTGCCTCCTGCTGCCTCACAAAGCTGTCAGCAGACACCCGGAGTTTGGCTATGCGAGTGTCCCACACGTCCTTGATCAGGGTGCGGATCTCATCTGCTTTTGGAATGTTGTCTGAAGCACTAAAGAAAGCAAATAAATGGCATAAGGAAGCGCTCAGTAAACTAAAGCAATATCCATCCAGAAGTGGCTTTAAAAAAAAAAAGGTTGCTTGGATTCAGGTAAAATACACACACTGTCCTAGACTCGGATTTTGTTTTGCTTTGTTTTCAATTTTAAAATATAAGGATTTCTAGCAGTTAAGCGTGGTGCCAAGAAAATTCAGCCATGATCCACAGTTATACTCATGTAACCTGTCCCTGGCAGGCAGTGGCACAAGGACTTCTGTTCCGTAAAATAATTAATAAATAAGAGAATAAGCTCTACATTGGACATCTTGTGTCTCAGGATAATTGAGTGCTCTGTGCTACAGAATTTCCATCTAGAATGAATTCGTTTCAAGGCTGGCTCAGAGGTCATGACTTCTATTGCTCAGACCTCATCGGTTATCCAAGGGCTTACAACCCACCAGGGAAAGAAGACAACAGCTCCATGCCATACAATGTACTCAGCACTACACAGTATTTCTATCCTCACAAAAGCCCTGAAGGGTAGACATTGGCCTACAGAGAAAAGAAAAATACATTTACAAAAATCACTGAAGAAATTGCAAATTAGCATACCTGAGCTCATTTTATATAATGAATTCTGGGTAAAAGTTTGACTTGGAGGCAGCGAGAGATGGTCAGTCTTCCTGTGTGAGATTTTTTTCAACTAATATTTGAAGGAAAAGACAAACTAGAAGGTAAAAGCAGAAGCTCACATCATCATCACCAGGCATTCTAGGATAAGCTGGAAATGACCTCTTCACATGCTAAAATTAGCTCAAGATTAGTAGATGGATAATCAGTGGTATAAAGTTTATGTAGTGGATTTTACTTAAAGCTCAAACATCTGGATCCTTTGCTCTGAACAGCAGTAAAGAACAATGTACCCAGCTCCTTGTTAACTGAAATGCAGAACAAAGGTACAATTAAGTCCCTTAGCCAAATGAATTCTAAATAATTCTAAGACAAGAGTTTCAATATGAGCTGCACACATAATATGCTGAACTCCAAAAATGAAAGATGAACAGGCCCCTCGCCTCTGCTTCCAGATTCTCCACTCCGAGTCACTCTCCTCACAGCAGATCCACAGGTGGCACACTCCTTCCTGAACACCCTCTCGGGACCCTCCACCAGAAGAAAAGCCTCAGCTCTCCCACCCCCTACAGTCTACATGTGTCCCAATAGCTCTGTTTCCCAAACACGCCATGTCCTTTCACACCTCCGCCTTCTCCCCCAGACTTTCCCTCATCTTTCTAGCCTGAGTTCCCTTCTCTGATACCACCAGGCATTAGGGTTGCATCCCAACATACTCTGAACAGCATTTATCACACTGCAGTATAACCACTGGGTAACAGGGTCACATCTCCCCCGCCCCCACTAAACTAGGAACTCAAGCTTATTATCACTATCTAGTAGAATGCTTAGTAAGCTGTGAACTGCAGTCTCATATGAACTGAAGGAGAAAGTCTGTGTTCTGTACCTTGAATTTTCATTTGCATCCAAAAATGCCATTTAGTGAGCCCTTGGCCTTTGCTCTGCAGCTCCCCAAATTTTGTTCTAGTTCTACTCTTGAATCCATCAATTATAAGGCATCAAAAGCTGGACATTGAAAATTACATTCTAAGTATGTCCTAAGCAAAATGATCCACACTTCCTGCCTCCTCCACTGATTTCTTTCATTCATTCATTCATTCATTCATTCATTCAACAAACATGCTACCGTGTTTCCCCGAAAATAAGACCTAGCGCATGGAAAGATAAGACATCCCCTGAAAATAAGACCTAGCGCAACTTTGGGAGAAAAAATTAATATAAGACACTGTCTTATTTTCGGGGAAACAGCGTAGTACACAGATGACACAATCCCTGCTCATTAGAACTGGGAGTGGGGTGAAGAGCATAGCCAGACAAGGAATTAGAAAATTTTTAACTGACAAATGCTATGGAGGTATACAGAGATGCCAAGATGACAGGTAGGACAGAAGGGAGTATCTGTTAAGCTAAACCAAAGGAGGGAGTAGGGAATAGATGGATTTACTGGCGGAGGGCACAGTATATGCAAAGCCCTGAAGTGAAGACCTTGGTATGTATAAAGAAGTAAAAGAAGTCAAAGTGAGCTGGAACTTCAAGTCAGAGGGGAGAACGGTAAGAGAGTTATGAGAGAGAGAAGGAAGAAAACCAGCCAATGCAGTGCTTTGAATACCATGATTAGGGCTTTAGACTAAATCCTGGAAAGGCTCCAAGGAGTAGGGGAATCATATGGCAACTTCACCTTTAACACGTTAAGCACTAGTCACCAGTGACGAACACTATACTTTCTGTCCAGAAGACAAAACAAGCTGGGCACTTAACGTGTTAAAGGGCCATTCTGGCTGCAATGTGGAGAGTGAATTAGAAGCTGATGTGGAACCAGAATTGGATGTAGGGAAACAATTTACTACAGCACATTTCTGCCACTAGTGGGCTTTTCTTATAGTTCAGGATCAGAGGCAAATGTGAGTCTTCTGGCCATTCATGTGACAGACATGTAAGAACTCAAATGCACATAACAAAAGAATAAAAAGGGGTAAAGCTCTAGTAATAAAACATATTTACAGTTAATACTAGAAGCCCGATGCATGAAGATTTGTGCAAGAATGGGTCTTCCTTCCCCTGGCTGCTGGCGCCGCCTTTGCTCCAGCCAGAGCCACCTTTCTGCCTTCCTATGCTATCCAGAGGCCTGAAACGGCTGGGGCAGTGCAGAACACCTGTGTTGTCGCCATCTTTGCATACTCACTCCTGATTGGCTGGTGGGTGCCAAAACGGTATGGCCAATTAGCATCTTTCTCTTTTATTAGTATAAAGTCTACTGCTGGAGGGGGAGGCAATGTTAAAATATGTACACAGATAATAATTTAATAAAAAATAAATAAATAAAAATAAATAAAAATAAATAAAAATAAAGTCTACTGCTGGAAATGATTATGGAGGCTCATACTGGGTTCAAATGTCAAGTGATAATCCTATATAATTAAAGCCTACTATGCTAACTGTCCATATGACCGTTCAATCAGTCGCTATGATGCACAGTGACCACCAGGGGGCAGACACTTCAACCGGTAGGTTAGCTTGCTGCTGGAGTCCAGCCAATCAGGATTGAGCAAGATGGGCCAGAAATGCTCTGGAGCCCTCCCCAGCCCCGATCATGTACCAGTGGGATACTTCGGCCTGGTCTGCGCCCTCTCACAATCCAGGACCCTTCAGGGGATGTCAAAGAGCCAGTTTCAACCTGATTCCCACAGGCTAGGCCAAAGGACCCCACTAATGCACGAATTTGTGCATCAGGCCTTTAGTTAAGAGATAAAATGAAAAGAACCAAGGGATTTGCTAGAAGAGGGAGGGTGGAGAAAAGGAAAAATGAGGAAGTGAGCTCTCCAGGTACTGTGAATGGAATCCCAGATTACTGACTTAAGGAACCAGGTGTCCAGGAATATCACTTACCTTGGTAATGAGAGTGAAACAAGAAAAGGACAGGGATTAAGGAATAAGAACCATAAATTCAATCTTACACGTGTGCTCTCAGTGAGATTACTTACTGATTTAACAGGAGCTTGGTCAGTTCCATATAGTAAGGGCTAGGCATAGGGGTAAAAGTTTGTTCCATTCGTTCATTATCCCTAATCTTCTCCAACTTTTCTGAAATTTAGAAATGAATACATTTTAGCATCACCATAACTAAAATATTTTTTTAAACCTTTCAAATTTACCAACTGTCTATATTACCTATTTGTTCATCTGACAAATACATTAAAAACAGTTTTTGAACCCTGCCAGTGTAGCTTGGTGGTTAAGCATCAACCTATGAACCAAGAGTCATGCTTCAATTACCAGTCAGGGCACATGCCGGAATTTCGGACTGAGTCCCCAGTGGAGGGCCTGCAGGAGATGGCCAATCAATGATTCTCTCTCATCATTGATGTTTCTCTCTCTAATTTAACACATTGCAGACAGATAACAAGAATTCTCGTGTTTTCCGTTCTAAGGCTTGTGGCCAATCACAATATTAAAAAGATATTAACTTGTAAGAACATGTAATAAATAACTTCAAAACGCAATGGGTATTTAATTTTAAAGCGTGCCTTTAACATTTACATAAAACATTGTTTTGTACTCATTCAGTAGAAACTTATCTGGCTACTGGGTAAAGCCCGCAATAAAACTACTGGTCTGCAATGTGTTAATAGCCTGAGAAAACCTCCAGTCCTAAATCTGAACTGCCCACTGTGCCTACAGGATACACACAGACACGACTATGCTGTGGAGTCTCACTTTAAAGGACATCTCCAATGGGCCCCTTGGCATTCTTGCAATCCTATGAAACTTCCCTGATCCATTTACCCTCTCACTTCTGATCATGTCCACCCTCTTCATGCCTTCTCTCCTCATCTCACTGCCCCAGCTCTCAGCCACTGCCTTGCTGAGTGCCCGCATGCTCCTACCACCACATCTTCCTAACTTCCCTGTGTCTGTCCCCATACACAAGGACCAGCCTTCCAGGTAAGCACTGGACCTCCTCTCTCACCTGCACAGAACAACACTCCAGCTTCAGTCTCTCAATCTTGAATGATCACGGTTTGCCCTCACTATGTGACCAATCCATCAAACATGCTGCAACATCTCCCATCTTAAAAAGAAAACCTGCCCTGACCAGTGTGACTCAGTTGGTTGAGTGTCATCCCATCCACCAAGAAGTCACAGGTTCGATTTCCAATCAGGGCACATGCCAGGGTTGTGGAATCCACCCGTAGTAGGGGCCATGCAGGAGACAGCTCCTCAGTGTTTCTCTCCCTCTCCCTTCCTCTATGAAATAAATTTTTTTTAAAAAGTGTTTTTCTTAAGAAAAAGAAAACCCTCCCCTGACACCAAATCTTCCCCAGCTACTAATCCATTTATCATGCCTTTTACACAAAACTTTGAGTTGTCTGACATTGGCATTAACTTCCCCTCCTCCTCCACTCAGATGGGTGTCTATCCTACCCCTCCACCAACATAGTTCACCAAGGCCCACATTCTCCACTAGGCCACACCCAAGGGCTATGTCTCAGTCTCCACATCTGATGAGAATCAATCCTCTTCCTGGAAGTCTATTAATTTAGCTTCTAGAACACCAGAGTTCTCATCTCATCAATTCTTTCTTGCCTTCCTGACCTCTCAACAGTGTGGTGCAGGGCTCACCTAAATTCATGTTCCATATGACCTCTTCCTGACTCATTTAAATACCACCTATGTGCTCATACTGACAAATTCACATCCCCAGATCAGTCCCTCCCCTAAATTCCTGACTCAAATACCCCACTGCCAATGTTATTTCCACATGGATTTCTATCAGGCACCTCCAGTGTGAGATGTTCAAACTCCACTCCTGGCATCCACTCTTGCCCACACACTGCTCCTACAGTCTTCCCCATCTAAGAAAACAACAACTCCATTTCCTCCCAGAGTTAATGAAGCATAGTAACCTCCATCTTGTATAAAAACTGCTGTTTGAAGTTCTCTGCTATTGTTAGATAGTCCCTTGTTCTTTAAACTCTGTCATTTTTAGACAGTCTCTTATTCTATAAAATAACTGTTAGAGTTTGAATAACAGAAAAAAACTTAACTGACCTTGCAAGCTAGCCATCTAACGTAATGGACTAATATTGATAATAATTCCCATATTCTTATGGCAAATGTTTGTTCTTTATGTACCCAAGATTACAAACTGTAACAATAACTCACACAGAGCTCTTGGTAAAATCTGCAAAGCTCAAAAGGTATAAATACGGGAAACTTCCTGTGTGACTTTGCTCAGAGATTTGGAAGAAACAATCCTAATTAATTGGCTCATTAAGGTGTCTTGTATCTCACTCGCTGATTTATGATACAACACTCAACCAAACAACCCTGGTGCTGATCTTTAACTCTTCTTTCTCATACCACTCGGCCAGTCCTTCAGCAATCCTGCTGATTCTTCCTTCAAACTATGCCTAAACTCCAACCACCTCTACCCACCTCAATCAGCTGCTCTAGCTACTCTCAGCTCTTGCCTGGGTCACTCTCTACTGCTCTCTCCCCACACACTTATTCTTTGCACAGAATATTCACTCTTTTCTTTTTTAAAAATCAAATCAGAGTATGAAACACCTCTGTTCAAACCCTGCAATTCCCATGTTGGCCAGGATATGGAACACTGGAAACTCTTGGACAATTCTGGTGGGATTATAATAATGGCTCAACTGCTATGGAGCACTGGCTGGCAGTTTCTTACCAAGCTAAGCACAGTCTGTCCTATGACCTTGCAATTCCACCCCTCTAGGTATTATTTATCCAAGAGAAATAAAAACATATCCACAAAAAGACGTGGACAAGATTATTCATAGCAACCATATGCACAACAGCCAAAAATGGGAAATAACCCAACGATCCACCAACGTAAGAATGGGTGAACATACTGTGGCATACTCACACAATGGAACACCACTCAGCAATAAAAGAATGTAATGGCACATGCAACAGCGGTGAATCTCAAAAACATGATACTGATAAGAAGTCAGAGACAAAAACTGACATACTACATGATACCATTTGCATGAAGTCCAAGAACAGGTACAACCAGGGTGGTGGCAGAATCAGAAAGCAGTTGGTTCTTGGGCACTGTCGACTGACTGATGTCTCATTACTTCTCACCACAGAATGGCCCAGGAGGAAGAAGCTCGGGCTGCGGTTTAGATGGGCCAGAGCTGCCAGAGCTGATCTTAAATGAGAAGCTTGAGGGGATGCAGCCCTACCAGAGCCAGGCCTGCTGGGACTGAAAAAGCCCTTCAAAGCAGAAGGAACTGGAGTTTCCCACTATGTTTCAGGACCCCCGGGGCCATTCACCCCTTAGGACAGGGAGTAAGGCGGAAACACCCCATCTTCCTTACACTGCATTTGAGAGTGCCTGGCTGAACATGGCCTTGCTTCTGGGAGGCAGGTATCCCAAAGTGATTCCCAAGGGGAGAGGGCAATCAAAATCACTCATGGGTTTTCAAATTCTACCTGCATGCCTATTACCACCACCACCCCCAATGATATTAAGATGCTTTGTGATAATGAGCCACTCACAGCTTTGAGATGGGGAAAAGACACAAAGGATAAAGTCAGGGTTAAGTTGGCCTGCATCTTCAATGCATTATTCTCTTTTCATTAACAATTTTATTCAAGCATAATTAACATATTACACAATTTACCCACCTAAAGTATACAATTCAGTGGTTTTTAGTATATTCACAGAGTTGGGCAACATTTTCATCGCCCCAAAAAGGACCCCGCCGCCCCCCAACAATCTTTCCATCACCTTTATAGTCCTATCCCTAGGTTTATTTTGTCTCTGGATTTGCCTGTTCTGGTAGTTCATATAAATGGAATGTTACAAATAGGGTCTTTGTGTGTTCTTTTCGGAGAGCATAAGATTTTCAAGATTCATCCACATTCTTTTATATGGCTGAATAATATTCCCTTGTATGGGTTCTTTTCATGCATTTTTTTTTCTATAATGTAAGATAACAACTCGGCTCAACATGTCAGTCTATATCTATAATAATAAAAGCGTGCCAAGACTGGTTTGGCTCAATGGATAGAGCGTCGGCTTGGGGACTGAAGGGACCCGGGTTCGATTCTGGTCAAGGGCATGTACCTTGGTTGCGGGCATATCCCCAGTAGGGGGTGTGCAAGAGGCAGCTGATCGATGACTCTCTCATCGATGTTTCTAACTCTCTATCTCTCTCCCTTCCTCTCTGTACAAAATCAATAAAATATATTTTAAAAATATCTTTAAAAAAATAAAATAATAAAATAAATAAAAGCGTAATGTGCTAATTAGACGGGACATCCTTCTATTGAATAGATGTTTGTCTGGAGACCTTCCTAACGAAGCCCAAGTCCTGGGTGCCGGAGGGAAGCCGGTGTGGCAGCAGGGGGAAAGAAGGCCCACTCTTGCACGAATTTCATGCATCCACCTCTAGTACTTATATACTTACATTAAAATGTTTATTTTAAGGCCTTATCATGCTTCTAAGTTTTAAACCAAGGTGAAATAGCTTTAAGCACAAAATCTGAACTCAAAGTGATACACACACCCCAAACCGACAGGGCGGGCCCTGGTGATGGAGGTCAGCTGACTCTAAGGAGTGAATGTGGAACCACTGATTTCAGCTGGCCAGTGGGCCATGGCGTCACTGCAGAACCCGGGCACCCACATCCTTACCCACATCCATCCACTCCGGAGGCAGCAACCGACACTTCTGCCTTTGCTTCAGGTTAATCGCCAGCCACAGGGGCACTTGCACCGGTAAGCCGGGGTTAAAGGGCCCCAGGTCCCCCTGCCGGAGGAGAGCAAACCCCGGTGAGACAAGGCAGAGCTACAGGCAGTACCGGACCCCGAGGTGTCAACTAACACCAGGTGTCAACTAACAGAACAGGCACCGTGCGAACAGCAGTCCAAACACAAACTCACGCCTGGGGGTCACGCAGCGCGGGAGGCAGCCGCGCCCGCCCTCCCGCGGTGGGGCTGGCCGCACCTGGCGGCCCACCTGAGCCCGGTCCCCGAGGCTCCGCGGGCGGGCAGCCCAGGAACATCTGCGAGGCGCGGGCTACCTCCAGGGGCTCCCCCGCCCACGTCTCCCGGCTCCGAACCTCGCCCCAACCCCGTCCTCGGAGGGCCGGCGCGGGGCTGGACACACCGAGTCCGCCGCCCGGCTTCCCACCCGAGACCCGGGAGCACAGCAGGACGGCAAATGCCTGGTGCCGCCTTACCCCGATGAGGTAGATCTTGTCCAGACTGAAGTTCGGGATAATGGTCACCAGCTCCTTCTCCGCCAGGAACTCCACCTCGGCCGCGTCCATAGCGGAGCGAGCCGCCACCCTTCGGCGTCCCGTAAGTGTCCGGGCGCCGCTTTCCCGCCACCGCGCGGAGCCCGCCCCCCCAGACCGGAAGAAGCCATAGCCAACCTATAGCAACTCGGCGCTCTCGGCGGACGGCGGGAGGCGGGGAGCGCGGCCGCTACGAGCCCGCGGATTGGCGATCTTGAAGGAGGCTAAGCGCTCAGCCCGCCCCACTCGTGTCCCAGCTCCGGCCCCACCCCCTCGTACACAGGCTTGGCCACGCCCACTCCCATAGGACGGCCACGCCCTCTCTCCGGCCCAGACCAGCATCTAGCACCGCGCTTCTGAGCTCCTTCACCTGCCCTGGGCGCCTGTCCGCCTTACTCCTGGGGCCTGGAGTAAATGCATTTATGGGGTCACAGCATTATCTGAAACAGCCCGACCCCTTGAGAGTGAGGGAAGGCGTTTCCTTTCATTTCACAATCTTCTGACCCCTGTATACACATTGGTTAAAAAATCTTTAAAAATGTAGATTCTGTCACCCCCTCCTCTCTCCCCCCCCCCCCCCCCCAATCAACAATCTTCCAATTCAGAAACTGCGGGGGAAGGAAGGGCTCCGAATCTGTAGGTTGGCAAGCAACCCAGGTGAAGCTAATGCAGGGGCAAGTTTGCAGGCTGCAGCAAATATGTATTGATGTGCTCATCTGTTTGTTGAACAGGTGCCCTCTATACAGTGGGTTTGTGTGAAACTTAATAGCAGTGGTCCTGAATCTCGCCATGTGTCAGACTCCCCTAGAAGTTTCTGAGTTAACATGCACACTCCTGGAGAACTGTGTTTCAGGGGTCGGATGGGACCAGAAAGCTGAATTTTAACCAGAGCCTGGGGAATTTTGATGGGATTCCAATATGCCAGGAAAACTTCCAGGGAGGTAAGGGAGCCGGTGCAGGGCTGGTGCGGACAGGCAGTGGGCTGGATTTGAATTTGAAATCCTGCTCATTAGGCCCTGAGAAAAAGCATAGGGGTCAGGAGCATTCCAGGTTCTGTATCCTGGCAGGAAAGCTGTCCCACTCCAGATAACCCCATGCTTTACTCTCTAAGCCCCCTGAACTGCCCCATTTAGGGTTGTTGGGAAGATGAAATAAGACTATATTACATTCTGCCCACTCACATGGCATAGAAAACTATGTCTGTTGTTTATCTGCATGTGAAGTTGTCATTTGCAGACTTGGAGATTACTGTCGTTGTGTGTCATGTAGTAAGACAAGCTCTCAAAGAAAATAATGGAAGAGCCTCTGGATGCTGTGTGACCAGGGGCAAGTGACATTCGGACCTCAGTTCCCTCCTCTGCAGAAGAGGCAGGAAGTGAAGGAGGAGCCTGGGGCGTTTGGGGACGGGGAGAAGCTCTGGGCCACCTGGCCCCTCCTGAAATAGAAGCTCCTTCAGACATCTGCAGAGCCTGTGTGCCAACTTGTCTGGGTTTTGATTGACGGGAGAATGTTTTCTTCGCTGGCAAATATTTGTGTTCCAGAGTTGGCGAGGCTTCCCTGCAGGCTTTTCGCAGCCTGTAAAAGAGCAGAGGGAAAGAGCTGGTGGGAAAGCGGAGATTCAGAGAGGCCACCGCAGGGCGAGCAGGAGAGCAAGCAGAGCCTAGTGTCCCCATCACCCGAATCCCAGTGGCCTGATCTGTAATATGGTGACAGTGCTGCTGCTGCCCCACTGGGATGCTGGGAGAACAGGAGAGTGTGCAGCGTCACACACTGCAAAATGGTGTCCCAGAGCCTCACACTTGTGTGTACCTCAGGGTCACTTGGAAGACTTGTTAGATGACCTTCCTTTCATAGCAGCATGATTTGCAACAGCCAAAAGGTGGAAATGACCCAAATGTCCATCAACTGAGGGACGTTTAAACAAAATAAGGTCTATATGTGCTGTGGAATGTTATTTAGCCATAAATAGGTATGATGCACTGATGCCTGCTACAACATGGGTAAACCTTGAAAACATTATGCCAAGTGAAAGAAGCCAATCCCCAAAACCATGTATGATTCCATGTATAGAAGCTGTCTAGAATAGGGAAACCTGCAGAGACAGAGAGGAAGTTAGTGGTTGCCAGGGCTGGGGGAGAGAGAAATGGGAGTGACTGCTAATGGAGTGGTGGAAATGTTCTGGAATTAGATAGTGGTGGTGGTTGCACACTCTGTAAATATACTAAAAACCACGGAACTGTGCGCTTTAAAAGGGTGAATTATTCCTCAACAAAACTGTATTAAAATGCCCTTCCCCGAGCTCCAGGCTCAGACTTTCTAACTCAGAAACCACACACTTAACATGCTCCCCAGGAGGTTTTTGTAGTGGGGAAACCTGGGGAGGGAAGCAGCTGCTCCAATCCAGCCCAGCTCTGAGCCATTCCCAGGATCCAGAGAGGATCCAAATGCCCAGCCTCCTGCCTGGCTCTTAAAGTCAGGGGGCGGGAAACTGAGATGCAAACAGACAAGAGGAAAACAAGGGAGGGGAGAATGATGGAAGTGGAGTTGCTACTTGAGGCGGGACACACACACACACACACACACACACACACCAACACACACGACACGACAGGCCCTCATACCTGCTGTAAGAAATGCCCCCCCCCCCCCCCCGTAGGGCTAGAATGCCCCAGGTGGTAATGAATTAGGAGTTGGAGATAAGATTAATGGGGTGAAGGGACAAATCCTTCATGCCAAAGAATTCCAGATGATGTATATAGATGCCCAACCTTCAAGATGGAGCATTGCCAGCTGGCGTGGCTCAGTTGACCTATGACCCTGGAAGTCACGGTTCAATTCCTGGTCAGGGCACATGTCCGGGTTGTGGCCTGGTCCCCAGTGGGGAGCGTGCAGGAGGCAGCCGATCAATGATTCTCTCTCATTATTGATGCTTCTCTCTCTCTCTCTCTCTCTCTCTCTCTCTCTCTCTCTCTCTCTCTCTCTCTCTCTCTCTCTCTTCCTCTCCGAAATCAATAAAAATATATTTGGGGGGTGGGGGGAAGGTGGAGCATAACACCCCACTCCTAAAGTGTGGGCTGCCCAGAGCAACTTGCTTTCAAAGAGAACCGGATGGAAACAGAGGAAAACAGAGTAACTTGACAGTGAAGAAACCTGATCAACATGACCTTAGCCAGGTGATCAAGGTCAACAGCAGTAATAAGCCATGGTCACAGCATGCACTCTTGATACCATGGATGAAAAGGGCATTTTACCTCCCAAACCTACAACCGTAGTCTAATCATGAGGAAAACATCAGACAAATCCCAGTTGAGGGACTTGCTACAAAACACCTGACCAGCACTTCTCAAAAGTGTCAAGGTCGCCCTGGCCGGGTAGCTCAGTTGGTTGGAGTGTTATACTGATACGCCGAGGTTGTGTGTTTGATTCCAGGTCAGGGCACATACAAAGCCAAACAAACGATGCATAAATATGTGGGAAAACAAATCGATGTTGTTGTTTTTTTCTCTCTCTCAAAAAACAAAAACCTGTCAAGGTCATCCCAAACAAGGAGAGTCAAAGACTGTCACGGCCCAGAGGAGCCTAAGAATTCATGCCGACTCAATGTCATGTGGGATCCTGGATGAGATCCCAGAGCAAAAAAAAGGACATTGGGGGAGAACTGAGGAAATGGGAATCGAGCATGGACTTTAATTAATAATAATGTATAAAAATTGGTTCCCTAGTTGTGACAAATGTACCAGAGCAGCGTAAGATGAACGCTGGGTGGGCAGTATATGGGAACCTGCTGTACTACCTTGGCAACTTTTTTGTAACTCTAAAGCTTTCCTCACCAAGAATAAGTTTATTTTCAAAAGCCTTCCCTGGCTCCCCAAAACCTAATACACCCCCAAAGACGTGCATCTATTGCCCTCTTCAGGGTAGTCGGCAGCATAATAACTTCTGGTCACACAGAACAGTGCTCCAGAGTGAGCCAGCAAGGCAGACTTCTGGTGTGCAGGCAGTGGGTCTTCCTGCAAGGATGGAAATGTTCAGTTTATTTTGGGCGGTAGATTTGGCCACAAGTGGAAAAGGAATATTTGCAATAACGACTGACGGGGGACCCAGATCCTCTGAAGGGTCATTTCCTCCTGCCTTTGGCGCTGGGCCAGCAGGGCCGCCCCCCCGCCCCCCCGATGCATCCCCACATAAAACGATGAGTTACAGTGAAGAAGTGAGGAGGTGTGTGAGGAGCTCCCCAGACTCTCGGCCCTGCCTGTGCAAGAGACTCATCTACTCGATGCTGGGGCCACCCCTGAACCCCAGGAGTCAGAACCCCTGGAGTGGGGCTCAGGCCAGGGCCTAGGCCAAAAGCCACCACTCTGATATACTGAGTCCAGCCTCTCTCCTGTGGTGGTGAGGGGGAGGCAGATGTGGGGGGGGGGGGGTGTGTGTGACCTCAGGGAAAGCACTGACTTGCAGCTAGAGGTGTCACCCATCTAAGAAGCTGGCTCGAATTACAGTGTGGGCAGCAGGAGAGAAATGCAGAATGCAAAACACCTCCTCGGTGACCTCCTTGCATTGCCTCTGCTGAAATACACCAGCGGTGTGGTCCAGAGCAGGGCTCTGATAACAGGACAGGAATGCCTCTGGAAGTAGCCCTCCACCACCACACCCCGGGCTCCAGGGGGCCAGGAGGCACAGCTCCCACTGCGCTGCGACTTGAGCCCCTGCCTGCGGCTGGTCTCTAATGTGGAGGTGATCACGTGGCCTCTGGCAGGGCTGACCTTGCGGCTCTGGCTCTGATGGGTGTGGGTTGTACCTATTCTGAATGCCACCTTCCCCTGGAGCCCGTTAGGTCCTCAACTGTGTCAACATGGCAGGTAGTGGCTCCTACTCTCAGCAGGAGCGGATTCTTTCTTTCTTTTTATTTTTTCTTCATTGATTTGGGGGGGAGAGAGAGAAAGAGAGAGAGAGAGATCAATTTGTTGTTCTACTTATTTATGCGTTCATTGGTTCATTCTTGTATGTGCCCTGACTGGGGATCGAACCCGCAGGATTGGCATATCAGGATGACACACTAACCAACTGAGCTACCCGGCCAGGGCAGGAGAGGTTTCTTCTGCTCATGGCTGTCCATGAGGCATTATCACCCCCACTGAGTGTGGTGAGAAGCGAAGCAAGAAAGACATGCAGTGGCCATCTCTCTTTCCCTGCCTCTCTCTTTCTTGTCGAAGTTCTTTAATAGTCTCCACTTAATTGGCTTCTCTGCTGTTAATAAATTGGCAGCACAAAGAGGGACCAAGAGTGTGCTCCCGAGCAGGCTCCTGTGCATCTGGGGGTGAGCCACGTTGGGGCTGCAGGTGGAGGAGCGGCATGAATAGCTCTGCTCTCAGGAACACAACTGCCCAGCAGCAGGAGACTCGCCTTTGGTGGGAGGTTGTGAGAAGTCCAGGTGAGCAGTGGCGAGACCTGCTGTATCTGGAAAAGTCAGGTTCGGGATGCTGCTGGGCCCCACCCAGGTGGTCGCAGGTATTCCCCATCTACCTGTGGCCCCACACAGCCTGGCTGCACGCCCTGCCCTGCCCTCCCTGGGGGGCCTGCAGGTTCCTCTCCGCCGCTCACTGGCCTCCAGGGTTTGGCGGGGGAGCCATCATGCCAGCCGCACGGCGCACATCACGGCTGCGCCGGGTGCTCTCAAGTGGCTCCGACATGGTGCGAACACACTCTTGTGTCTTTTTGCCATCTGCTGCTGTCATTAAAAAATTACATTTCCATCTGCTTTCACACTTTCGTCCCCTCCCAGCCTTCCCTCCCGGAAGCACATAGCACAGATCCCAAGTCTCACATCGGACATGGCTGGCCTCCTGGAACCTTGGAGCGTCTCTGGGACACACCAGGGTGAGGGGCGAGGGGCTTTGTCAGCTGTCAGAGCTTCTAACGTCCGTCCATCCATCCATCCATTTCCTCTTCAGTTGCCATTTACTGCAGCCCCCACTTCACTCCCCCCCTACCTCCCCCCCCCCCCCCCACACACTTTGGGGGGAACCGTTTTACAAGGCTTTTTATTGTTGGATTTAATCAGTATGTGCAGCTTTGGCATTAAAAATAAATGAAAAATAAGCTGCAGACGTTCGTAACCATCCCCCTCAGGGTGTATTAAAATGGAGGAACTGACTCAGGAAATAAGAATCAAAGAGCCCTGTTTTGAGGTCGAGATAAATTGTCTTTCTAGACCAGCCCCACAAAGGCCCCCCAGCCCCACCCGGACGGCACCCTGACCTTGAATGGTCAAGTTCACGTAGAATGACCCCATGGGTTGATGGCACCGGTGGGCCTGGTGGATCTTCTCAAGCACAGCCTTGCGAACACCAGCGTTATCGCCAACATCCTAGAGGGCCCTGTGAGAGAGCCAGGTCCGGTGTCCCGGGCAGCCTCAGGCTGGCCTCCCGCCTGGTCTTCTTCCCGTTGCCATGGGCACTAAAAGCCTGGATGAAGCAGTGATTAGCCATGGCAGGCTGCTGAGGGGACTGAGGCCTCTGAGCAGAGCCCAGGGAGATGTGGATGGAGCCAGGCCAGAGTGAGCACCCAGCCCCAGCCCCTAGGCCCAGCATCCCCCTGGGTTCCAGAGGGAAGAGGACTGGGGCCAAATGTCATGAGCAGAAGCTGTGAGCGTGCTTGCCTGGCCCGGCGCATGCTCCAAGGGAAAGTACTGTGGTAGCTGCCGGCCACGAAGTGAGGAGACACACGAAGCAGATTTGAACCCGATTAGGACCTGACAAAACCCAACTCCCGGCAGCCACTCAGCAGGACCAGGGCCCAGCCCGAGACCGGAGAGAGAGATCACTGCTTGTTGTTCTAAGCTACTGAGTGTGGAGGGTGGGGTGTCTCAGCCCATTGTGCGGCTATAACAGAATCCCGCAGGCTGGGTGGCTTATAAACTACAGAAATTGTTTCCAGTTCTGGAGGCTGGAAGTCCAAGGTCAAGGCACCAGCAGAGTTGGTGTGTGGTGAGGGCCCGCCTCCTGCTTCACAGTCGGCCATGTCTTCACATGTTTGTGGGGGATACACACTCAGTCTGTAGCAGGGGTGGGTTGCTCAGTACACAGCAAAACGCAAACTAATACACTATGCCCCAGTTTCATGAGTTACCTATACAGAGAGAGCTTAGAACAGTCCTGCATATAGCAAGCAATAGGAGGGCTAAACAAATAAAAATCCTGAGCACCTCGTGTGAGCTCTGGGAACTGGTGTGTGGGACTGCGTCCCTGACGCTGAAGCTTTATTTTCTAAGGGTCATGTGTGAGGGTGCCTAAGGCTTGAGTGTGGGCATATCAGCGCTAGGTCCTGAGCCCCAGCTGACGGGTCACTCCTTTCCTCTGATGACAGGCACATCAGTGATTATGAAACAACTAGTGGCCCTGTGCACGGATTCATGCACATCGAAAGGAAAATAATTAGCCGAAACCGGTGTGGCTCAGTGGATAGAGCGTCGGTCTGTGGACTGAAAGGTCCCGGGTTCGATTCTGGTCAAGGGCATGTACATTGGTTGCGGGCACATCCCCAGTAGCGGGTGTGCAAGAGGCAGTTGATCGATGATTCTCTCTCATCGATGTTTCTAACTCTCTATCCCTCTCTCTTCCTCTCTGTAAAATCAATAAAATATATTAAAAACAAAAAACAAAACAAAACAAAAAAAACCAGACTCACCCTTGCATTAAAAAAAAGAAAGAAAGAAAGGAAAATATTAGAAGAAATGTTTTAATATTGCTATTTGCCCTTTCTCCCTCAGTGCCTGGGAGCCAGGTGGATCTCCCCCCGCCTCCCATCCCACTGTGGTCCCACTCTCATCAGGCCCATTGGGTTGGCAGTGCCTCCCATTGCCAGTGCTGCATCATCAATGCCCACCATGTTCCATGCCGCCCCCTGTTGGTCAGTGCACATCATAATGAAAAGTCAAATTCCCTCCTACCAGCCCGGCTGAGGAGACAATTTGCATATTAGGCTTTTATCATATAGGATGGAAGGAGGTCCTGCCCCAGGAGAGGAGAGGGTGCTGTGGGAACCGTGGAACAGACTTTAATCTGCAGGGCCCGGTGGGAACAGTATCAGGTGGCAATGGACCTGGCTTTGCCAATGGACTGGGCGGGAAAAGGGAGCAAAGGCATTCCAGTGACAGAAACTGCCTGAATGGGTGGTGGACTGTGGTTCCACCACATTTCCCATCCCACGTACAGATGATGCATTGTAGAATTGTATACCTGAAACTTACGCAATTTTTAGTAACCAATATCACCCTAATAAATTCAATTAAAAATTAATAAATCATAAAAACAAAACCAAACATTTCCTCCCATCCTAGAGCTGTATTACCAAGATCCCACAGCTGGCAGGCACGGAGCTGGGACTCAAACAAGGTCTGTGTGACTTAGGCACCACGCCCAGGCCCAGCGGTCTGCAGTTCGTGGGACCCAAGACCGTCCAAAGGCTCATCACCAGCCAGACCTCTGTGACAACCGACTCTCTTAAACCCACCTCTGTGCCTGGTGTGCTCCATCTCCTCCGCCCAACCAAGAAGCAGGGCTTGCCATTCGTTACAGAGGATCTTTATTGATAATGCAAAAAAAAAAAAAAAAAATTATAAATCACATTTGGACTGCTTTGAGATCTGTAAAACAACTTGTAAAAAAATGTAGCCACTTCTTTGCAAGAAGTTCCTGTGTGTGTTGATCTCCTGGGCACCATCGGCATGGTCCAGGGTGCAGGGAGTGTGTGTGTCCAGAAGAAAGCCTCTCCCTGGCACCCTGAGGGCCACCGCCATGGCCCTGGGGTCAGCAAGGATGTGTAGGCATCAGAGGTCCGTCCACCGATGGGGCCAGGGAAACATCACTCTGCCAGCACGCAGGGCTGGTCGCTTGCTCATCTTGCCCCACGTCTCCTGGTCCAGTGCCGAAACCACGCTCCCATCCGGCGTACTCAGCACTTCTGTCCCAGGCGGCGACGCCCCCCTGGCGACACGTGGAACGAGGGATGGCCAGAGCCGGAGCCGGAGCCAACAGATCCAAGACCTGTGCTTCCTTCTCAGGCTTCAGGGTCTATTTCTCCATCCTCCGGACATGACCCCGTCTCTTCCAGCCAGACTAGGAGGCAAGAAGAGGATCAACATGTGGATGGATCCCCCACCGCCGTCAGGCCCCTCTCCCTGGGAGCTCTGGGGCCAGTGCCTGCGGGCTCCTTGCTTTGTATCACCTCCCTGAGATCCTCCCTTACATGGGCGGGGGTGCCAATGGATGTTGAGAGGGGATCCCAATGATGGTTGGTCTCACGGAGTCCCGTGCATCCTTACCCCACACTCAATGCTGAGCTCCCAGGGTCCCTGGCTAAGGTTCCTGGGATTGCGCGCGCGCGCGCACACACACACACACACACACACACACACACACACACACACCCAGTGCTGGGCAGTTCCAGAGGTACGGATTTGATGCTTAGAGAGTGGAGTCAGCAGGGCTGGGCTTCTCTCTGATTCCTCGTTGCCTGGGGAAGCCCCAGGGACTGGTATCTAATCACCCAGCGCCCACAGGCCTGCAGGAGGTGACACCTGGGTCTGGTGGGGTTTTTTTCTGCCCTAAATATCACATGTTGAGAATATCCACAACACACCACAGAAATCAGCCCTGGACCTTCCTCGTCTTTAATCTTCTACAATCTCTCAGAGGCACTATTTCTCCATTTTACTGAGGCTTGGGGAGGTGGAGCTTCCTGTTCTAGGTCACATGCTGACGAGTAGTAGAGCCAGGATCCAAACTCAGGGTTTTCTGACTCCACGCCTGTGCTCTTTCTCCCATGCTTCCCTTCTCTGAATGAGGAGTGCGGAGGGTCAGGTCTGAGCTCTGCCTTGGACTGCACGAATCTGCCTTAGGAACTGCTTAAGCTTAAAAGGAGCCTCTTCCCTGTGTTAGGAACCCCCCTGGGGGATCCAGGGCCTCCAGATGCTCACCCCACAGACCTTGTAGAGTAACTATGCGTCTCCGCTGCACTTGCAGGGCCCCAGGAGCAGGGAAGGTGGTTAGGATCCCATTACACAGATGGGGACACTGAGGCTCAGAGAGGGGAGGGAGTGAAATGGCAGAGCCAAGGACCGAGGCCTCCACTGCCTGCACTGAGCTCTTGGTTAGACATTGGAGCAGAAGCCCAGCTCTCCTGCATCGCTGCAAGCCCGTGGGTGGGTCACTCGCCCTCTCTGGACCTCAGCTTTCTCGTCTGTAAACTAGAGATACGGACGGTACTCACAGGCCTGAGGGTTGGATGAGAAGTAAGATTTGTGAAAAGCACTAGGCCCGGTGCCTGTCACTTGGGAAGGTGACATAGGAATGTGACCTATTACCGTCCTTCCTGAGCATGGCCCTGCCCTGGTAACAGACAGGCCTGGCCCAGAGTCCAACCTTTTTCTCTAGTCACTTGCCCGCCGACCACGCTGAGATCCAAACTCTACACATTCAGAAAAGTGTGCCTAAGATCCCCCACCGGATTTCCACGAGCTCCACATTAGCCTTGTCAGCCTGTGTCCCCTGTAAAGGCCAGGCAGGACTCACACCTCGGTGGCTGGTGGGCTGAATGGAGGGAGTCTAGACTAGGGGTCCACAGGCGAGTTCTATATCACACAGCCTGGGTCTGAATCCAACTCTGCCTCTTACCAGCTGTATGACAAGTGTCTCCACCTCTCTGAACCTCATCCATAAAATGGGGATGCAAACTAGACCTAATTCAGACTTACTATTAGGACTCAATTACTGCTATCAGAATCATTATTTATTATTATTATTTATTATTATTATTATTATTATTATTATTGTTAATTATTCACAACAGCAACCTCAGAACCTAGCACAGGTCTGGTTCAGTAAATCTGCTTGGTGAATAAATGAACAATCTGCCTGACCAGCCCCAACAGCATCCACAGAGGGGCACTTGGGGACACCAGTGCCGGCCTCTCCCTCTCACCCTCTCTCTGGGAACAGTTCCATCTTCTCTCCCCTCCCTGCAGTGAGCTACATCCGGAAGGCCCAGAAGAGATCAACCCCAGCCCTGCGCGGGCATATTTCCAAGCGTGTCCTGTCCAGCTGAACCTCTGCAGCCAGCAAGATGGAGCGCCGGTCGCCTGGCTAGCAGGGGAAGGCGCATCCATCAATTACCTTGGCGAGCCTGCCCAAGCCCATCCATCACTCGCTCAGCTGCCGGGAGGGATTGTCTGGCTAATTACTTAACATGCCACCTCATGCTGAGGCTGAGCCACCGTGAGGGGCCCGCGGTGGAGATCCGAGGGTACATTTTTTAATAAACCCAGGGAGGTGGGGACCTGAACTCAGACCCAGAGCACAGAATGGGGCCCCTTGAGCTGTCCCCAGCCGGACTCCCCGCCCCCTTCCCCAACCCGGCAGCGGGGCAGGGTGGCCTCACCTGTCCTCCTGGAGTCCCTCGGCAGCATCATGCCCGTAGGAGTCGGGGGGGTGATGATGATGTTGGGCACATCCAGGTGCTTGTCGTTCAGGACGGGGGCCTCGTCGTGGCTGCTGCTGCTGCTGACACACATTTTAAAGCCTGAGAGGGCGGCCGTGGAACACACACACACACACATGACAGAGAGACAAGCATCAGTGGCCGCTGGGGAACTGCCCGCCTCTGGCTGCCTGCCTGCTTCCCTCCCCTCGCCGTCACCATGAGTCCTGACAACTCTCAGGAAAAGGAGGGCATTGCTGTCCCCACTCCACAGATGAGAAAACTGAGGCTCAGGACAGTTACATGACACGCCCAACGGCCTTGCGTATCACGGAGAGGACAGTGAGTTGTACCTGCTTTGTTCACGAATGTAACGTCAGTGCCTAGAATGTGTCTGACACACAGCAAGGACTCAAAACATGACTCTGAACGGAAGAAAGCAACGGAGCCTGAATTGGAAGCCAGGCGTGAAGTCACCTCTCCCATTAATGATTTTCTAAAGGCGTTTGTGTAAGATCGATGTTGTTTCTTCCTCACCTGTTAGGCTGAATTCACCAGTGAAAGTTGGAATTTCCTTTGTGCAAAGACTTTGATTACAAATTTAGTTCTCTTCTTTCTTAAAATAAATTTTTATTGATTTCAGAAAGGAAGGAAGAGAGAGATAGAAACATCAATGATGAGAGAGACTCATTGATCGTACACCTTCTACATGCCCCATACGGGGTATCGAGCCCACAACCTCAGCATGTGCCCCGACAGGGAATCGAACCGTGACTTCCTGGTTCAAAGGTCGAAGCTCAACCACTGAGCCATGCTGGTTGGACACAAATTTAGTAGATGTGGGGCTCCTTAGTGTTTCTGTTTCCAACTGGAGTCAATTTTGGTAAAGCTGTGCTTTGCAAGGACTTGTCCATTTCTTCTAAGCCTTAGAATCTAAGCCTTGTCGGCAAACTCATTAGTCAACAGAGCCAAATATCAACAGTACAACGATTGAAATTTCTTTGGAGAGCCAAATTTTTTAAACTTAAACTTCTTCTAACGCCACTTCTTCAAAACAGGCTCGCCCAGGCCGTGGTATTTTGTGGAAGAGCCACACTCAAGGGGCCAAAGAGCCGCATGTGGCTTGCGAGCCACAGTTTGCCGACCCCAGTTCCAAGGTGTTAAATTCCTTGTCCCACCTCGCCCACAAATTAAGCACGGGTAAAGTGGCCAAGCTCAGTTACAGCCTCCACCTGACCCTGAAGCACCTTTCCGTTCGCACCACCAAACACCTTCCTCCACTCTTCCCACCGAGTCAACAGCATCACATCTGCCAGAAATCAGAGTGAGGGCCACAAGTCTTCCCTTTCCTCCTCGCCTCCAACCCCCAGCCAATTTAATCAACCTGCAAGCCTGCCGATGCCACCCCTCAATGTCTCCGCCACCCTTCTTTCTCCCTCCTGTGCACCTCACTAGTCCTTCCATCTCCTGGCTTCTCCCTCTTCAGTCTGCCCTCCAACAGCAGCCGGAAACTGCGGGTCTGACTATACCACACACCAACTTGGAACACTCGCTAGCTCTTGTCAATAGCTACAAGCAGCATTTCCAGAGTGTGTCCCCTGGAACACAGGCCTCCTGAGGCTCCCCTGGGAAGGGGTTTTGTGATCAAATGAGTTTGGGAATCCCACGTATTTGAATGTTGACCGAATCCCATCTACGCTATCCCTCTCTCAGAGAGAATTAAAGGCTGTGATACGTCCTGCAGTAAAGAAGCTGCTTCAATTGTGCTAACCCCTGGGCTTCCTGAACTTAAATATTAAATAACCGTAGAGTCTGTTAACATCTCACAGAAGCATGAGTCATAAAATACACTGTTGATCATAAATGCTGATCATTAATTAAAAGTCAGCCTCTAAGCCCGGTTTTGAGCCTTCACAATCCGGCCCAACCTACCTGCAGCCTCATTCCCTGCCACCTGCTCCCCCTTTCCAAACTGCTGCTCATAGTTTCCTAAACACACTGGCCTTTTCAGCCCCTCCCTGCCCTCGTCCAGGCTGATCCCCTGCCTGGAAAGCTCTTCTTCCTTTACCATGGTGATGAGCTCCTATTCATCCCTCAAAACCTGTCCCAATAGGCTCCTCTTTGGGGAACATGCCCCAGCAAACCCGTCTTTGGTCCATCCACACTCATTCACTCGTCAATCTTCCAGCACCGATGACAGCGTATTGAAATGATTAGTTCTTAATTCTGTCTCCCTTTACTGTGACCATCTGGAAGGTAACACTGTCTCACTTGAACCTGGCATAGTAACTGGGAAAGAACAGTAGGAGTGCTTTAAATTTACATTGAAACTCTTCTCTCTCTCTCTCTCTCTCTCTCTCTCTCTCTCTCTCTCTCTCTCTCTCTCGGCACTACTAAATTGGGTGTTAAAGTCCTTATTTCTAAGCTCTGCCACTTGGGTTTTCCCCAATCAGCCCTAGACTGGGACAGTATTAGCTCAATTATTTGGGGCCCTAGCCAACAGCAGGGCCCCAAATAATTGCGTCTCAGGCCAACCCCAGCACCATAGGGATGGTGCGCCTGAGGGACCCTATTGGGTCAGTGTGGTGGCTCTCAGGTATGTCCCTGAGAGGTGGAGTCAAAGGCCACTCCCCTTTAGTGTGGGATAAAGTTAGGATGAATTCTAATGAATACAATAAGACCTGAAGGGATTGGGGGGAGGGGGGGTAGGGGCTTCCAAGGGGAGGTCATAAAAGATGTTACAACTTCCTCCCTGTTCCCTGCTGGGGGAAGCCAGCTGCCATGTTTGAGGCAGGCAAGCAGCCTGTGAAGAAGCCCTGTGGTGAGCGACTGAGGCCTCCAGCCAACAGCCATGTGAAGGAGCCACCTAGGAAGCTGGTTCTCCAGCCCAGCCAAGCCCTCAGGTAAGACTGAGGCCAGGCCAACAGACTCCCTGAGCCTGAACCTCCCATCAAAGTCATTCCTGAATTCCCAACCCACAGAAACAGATACTGTTTAAGCCACTAAATGTGGGGGTAATTGGTTACACAGCAATAGATAACTTGGAACCCCAATCCTGTTTCCTTCTTGGGGAACCCCTGTGGCCCCCGAATCTACCAGGCTGCTTAGTTCTATGAGCCCCTCAGGAGCACCCAGCAAAGCCTCTGCCAACCTGAGCTAAAGCAGTGGTTTTCAAACCGCCCTTAAAGCAGCAGAGCCATTCTTCCTGCAATCTTACCCAGAAGCCCAGAATCCTATCTAATAAAACTAATATAAGAGTAATATGCAAATTGACCATCACTCCAAGATACAAGATGGCCGGCCCATGTGGTCAAAGATGGCTGCCCCCATGTGGACACAAGATGGCCACCACAAGATGGCCTGCAGGAGAGGGCAGTTGTGGGCGTTAGGGGTGACCAGGTCAGCTGGGAAGGGCAGTTGGGAGTGACCAGGCCTGCAGAGGAGGGCAATTGGGGGGTGGAGGGCAGGTCTGCAAGGGAGGGCAGTTGGGAGGGCCAGGCCTGCAGGGGAGGGCAGTTGGGCAGGGAGGGCAGTTGGGAGGGCCAGGCCTGCAGGGGAGGGCAGTTGGGCAGGGAGGGCAGTTGGGGGTGACCAGGCTGGTAAGGGAAGGCAGTTAGGGGTGATAAGGCCAGCAGGGAAGAGCAGTTAGGGGTGACTGGACCAGCAGGAGAGGGCAATTGGCCTGGCTTGCAAGGGAGGACAGTTAGGGGCAGACAGACCTTCAGAGGAGGGCAGTTAGGGGCAATCAGACCATCCGGGGAGCAGTTAGGCATTGATCAGGCTGACAGGGGAGTGGTTAGGGGGTGATCAGACTGGCAGGCAGAAGTGGTTGGGAGCCAGCAGACCTGGATTGTGAGAGGGACCCCAGATTGGAGAGGGTGCAGGCTGGGCTGAGGGACACCGCTCCCCTCCATGCACGAATTTTGTGCAGTAGGCCTCTAGTGTAAAATAAAAGGAAGTCACATAGAGGAGGCCCTCCCATTATCACTGGTAACAGTTGGCATTTACAGAGCATCGCCACATGTCAGACACAGAACCGAGAGCCTTCATGGATACTCAGAGGTGCAAAGTGCAAGCAGCCCCATCTCACAGATGTAGAGACTGAGGACCAGAGAGAGTAAAAGCTTACAGATTTCAACAGCATGTGGTGAAGCCAAGATCTGAACCCAAACCCAAGTCTGTCTGATTCTTCTCATAACCACAATCCTAATATATAAAAAGCCAGGGGCTGTCATGACCAAAACAACCAGATGGATGACCAAACAGCAGGCTGTATGGGGTGACAAGACCGGCAAGGGGGTTAGTGAGGAACGACCAAACAGTTGATCAGAAGGCTACATGGGGCAACCAGGCCAGGGTGTGTGTGTGTGGGGGGGGTTAGGGGCAAACAGGCCGGAAGAGGGGGGCAGTTGTGAGAAGGATCCTGGGGATCGGGCCTAAACCAGCAGTCAGACATCCCCCGGGGGGTCCCAGATTGGAGAGGGTGCAGGCTGGACTGAGAGGACTGCCCCCCCCCCCATGCCTGTGTATGAATTTTGTGCACCAGGTTTCTAGTTCTATATAAAGGAGCTGGAAAACTTTATGAAAAGGGACAGACAGTAAATATTTTTTACTTTGGGGGCTATACAGTCTCTGTCACAACTACGCAATTTTGCCACTGTATCTGGAAAGCAGCCACCGACAGCATGTACATGAATGGGTGTGGCTGTGTTCCAATAAAACTTTATTTACAAAAAAAGGACAGCAGGCCTGATTTCTGTGGTTTGCCAATCCAGCTCTTTACTCTAACATCCCAGGGGACTTTGGAACAGGGACCTGCATGGTGTCCTATCTAGCAATAACAGGACCTCAAAAACCCGAGGCTCTTAAATGCCAAAAACACAAATAAAAATAAAACTCCAAACCTGGCTGCTGCTGGGTAGTGACAGTTCCAGCCTCTGAAGGGCAGTGGGCACATGGGATGAGTGAATTTGCATAAAGCTCCTTCCCAGCAGGTGGGGCCCAAGGGGTGCTCAATCCCTGTTAGCTTCTCTGTAATCATCCATAAAGAACGCCCAGAACAAAAGGAAGCTCTGGTTACTGTTATCTGTGACAGAAGGGAG